TTCCCTATAGATGGTGAGGACTTACAGATGTTTCTGTTGGCAGCTAACATTGGTTTGATTGCATCAAGTTCTAGGACATATCTTTCAAATGAGATCCATAATGATTCAAATGATTTTGGTTTAGATATCTACATAGGCAGGATATATGAAATCTGAAATAACTGAGGAAACAAAGAGTCAAGTTTCTGAGCATATTAATTTATTAAGCAATGCATGCCAAATATAACAAATCAGGACCAGGCCCCTCAGCTTGCACTGGACCCTAAATATAGGGGGAGGCAGATTTTTATGCATTAAAAGCAAACAAGACTAACCATGAGATTAGGCACTTTCTGAGTTGGAAGAGGGATGAGAGAGTTTGGGAAGCTGGGATAAGGGAGAGCAAACAGATAGACTTCTCTGGATGTGAAACAAGATGTCACTCAATTCCTACGAGTAGCAAGAAGGTGACATTTACAGGGAAATAAAACTTACGTTTCAAAATGTAGTTTTACAAGATGGAGCTAGATTGGTTCATACAATTCTCTTAATTTCCTTGTTTGATCAATGGGGAATAGGACCAGCCTACTCTCCTATGAGTCACTTATCTTATGAGGTTTTTAGTATGCTCAAGATCTCTATCACTATTACTTAGCAAGAAGAGACCATTGGAAAGCATCCTTTTGCATAGCTTAGTACAATAGCTAATATGAAGTCTAAGGACAATAATGGTGATATCCACTAACAAGGCAAATTTTGTTAAATAAACTCTGTAGATACCTGGCATCAAGCAGTCTGATCCTGTTGCTTTCTTAAATTTTGCTATTTCATTTAATTAGAAAGCTTTTACATCTTATTACTTCATCTAATTTCTCCTTTAGAAGGATATCATTTTTATATCATAATTTGCCAAAAAATAACTCAAACCTTCCTTAAACTATTAACTAATAGAGTTAGTATTTCAGCTACAAAAATTCTACAGTTTATAGCTATTTATCAAAATTTGCTACAAAGGGGAAAAGGCCATACATTCATAACAACATCAAGACTATTGCCCCAAGGGCACAAATTTCCCTGACATGTACCATAACAGGAAAAAAACTCTCTTAGTTCTATTTGAATCCAGGTATGATTCATATTTAACCACCAGTCATGCAGTCATGTAACAAAGCTCCCACATTTTCAATAGAGTCCCACAGCCAAACTCAGAATTAACCAGGTGGGAAAATTTCATGTTCAGATGAAAATAGCCCTATGGGAAAACTAACTCAAGATGATCCCACCTTAGGACAAGCCAAGATTGTCCCTTCAACTTTTCACAGGGGCAAACATCTACCTGTAACAGTTCTCAGACTGCAACACATGTCATTTTCTCTTGAATGGTGGATTATTGGCTTTATGACAATTCAGACAGCCATTCCTATAATCAAAGCTCAAAACAATATTATAGTCCCAGGAATGTTTTTCCACAAATAGTAAAATTTCACTAATCATAGCTTAGGGCTTGAATATTATTAGTTATCTCAAGTTTCCCTGCTAGTTACATTTCATTTATGCTTCACTTATAAATATAAAAAAACCCAACCAAATTAGGAGTCTTTCAAATTAACACATAGCAGTCCTCATTTAGTAACAATCTCAAATTCTGACACCCTATCTTAAAATCCTTGAATTCAAAACCCATTGTTATCAAGTTGACTTGTTACATAATTACATAACAAAATTAACGTAACATAAAAATGTAATTTTATTACATACTATTTGGATGAAATTTAATAATTTTAGACAAATGATAGCAAATAATTTCAGATGAAAATTCACTCTTCATTATGGTAAACATGTAAATTCCCACTTTTGACAAGGAATGGGAGAGAGAATCTCAGTTCTAGATTCTCAAAACTTCAGAACTTCAAAATTTTGCAACATGCAGTCAACAGAGCTGATAAAATGTTATGATCCATCCTGAATACAAAGTCTCAAGGGAACTCACAGATGAGCATATCTTAAAGGTTCTGTGTATATTTTCCCCTAAAAGTAAATTATCATTATCATCATCATCATCCTCCTCCTCCTCCTCATCATTTATTTTAAAGCAAAATCTATCCTATATTTTCCAAATATATAGTCTTGTATCACATCCTTTTAAAAGCTGAAGTCGTAATCTAACAGCATCCAGGTTAAAAGAGAAGTTATTGTCTTATAGCATTTTGGTACTGCAATTGAATTTCACAATATAAGAAAAAAATTTAGAAACACAATAATAACATACACCATACCAGTCAGATGATGTCAACTCAGTCAAATGTATTTCCAAATAACCTTACATAGAAAATCATTCATTTGAAATTTTATACTAATCACATTTAAAACCCAGTAAAGAGCTATTCAGTATGGAACATTCATTAATAATTCACTAATAATAATAATACGTTAATAATAGTCAACATTTATATGGTGCTTGCCATATGGCAGGCATTGTGTTAAGCACTTTGCAATCATTATGTGATTTGATCCTCACAATAACTCTGAGAGATGAGTGCTAATTTTATCCCCTTTACAAATCAGGTGACTAAGTCAAACAGAGGTAAAGTTATCTGCTAAACATCACATAGGTACTGCATTTCTTAATGCCATGTAACAAATGCAATGTGTATTAAGTTCTGATTTACCATAATTATCCTATTTAGTTTCAGAACAAAATTTTGTCCAAATCAAATCTAGATTTTTAATTACTAATGGTAACAATTTAAATCTAAAAAAAAAAATTCCCAAGGGACGTTTGTTGGCAGCACTTTCAAAATTTTAGAGCCCATTGTCATCAATTAGTTCATTTTCAAAGATCACAGTAGTATTCCAGGCACCCTATAACTTATTTTATATCCTTTTAAACCACCCAAAAAGCCAAATCAATTTCTTTTGTGTTTGTAACCTGACCCCAGTTCAAATCCAACCTCAGACACTTGACACTTCCTGGCTGTGTGACCCTATGTAAGTCACTTAACCCTGAATGACTCACCAAAAATAAATAAATAAATAAATAAAAAATAACCCGACCCTATCCTTTTACCTTTCCCTGAGGCTTTTCAATTTCAATCCCTGGCAAAAGACAGGGAAAGGCTCCAAGTAGTGGCCTCCCAATCTCATGAAGTTTCAAAAGATTAGGACACAAACTTAGTATGATCTTTCAGGGGAAGGATACCATATTTCCCAATTGTATCCCATATAATCTAAAGAAATAATCTTCACTCATTGTATTTCTTCCTTGTAATTTAGTACAAAAATTTAAAACAACCTGGGACTAATTTCAATATAGTTATCTTTTTTGGTTTCTAAGAACTTACAAACGCACGGTTTCTTTCTAATATTCTTTGTTGATCCTGCTTCTTATTTACATAAACAATTAATTCTGTTACATAAGGCTTTGAAAATTCTGTTTAAGGCTTCCTAAAAGACATTTCTAGTTCCTGGCAATCTCTCCACCTCCTGTCATTGTGAATGTTTATCCTCATTTTCCAGAACAGGGTTTGGGTTCAGGCAATGATGAAGACAGAATATGTGGTTCCATATGGCTGGGGGTGGGCTTTGGCAATCCCTCCTCATAGTATCCTCTTCATTATAAATCTCCCTTTCTGTGCCTTAATTAAATTTTGCTTATTTTTCAGTTGCTCTGTGATTTAAACAAGCTTTTCTCTTTTCATGATGAAGAAAGGGTTAATAAGAGGCAGTTCTCAAGCCACAAATAAATTTAAACTGTAAACTGCAGGCTTATTTTTTTCTGTTTTTCTTTAACCAGTGCAACTGCTTTCTTTTATTGAGCTAAAACAATAGTTTTCTTAATCTCCAGGGAAAGAGTGGTAAGAGGTCTAAGTCCTGTTTTCGCAGTAACTTTAATTGACCCTTCTTAAATCTCTTTTCCAATTCCAAATCCTTCCTTCCAGAAAGGGGAGAGAGGTGTTTAAACTTAATCTGCAAATGTCCAAAATCTACTAAAAATTTTTTAGCAGTTTCCATGATTTGGCAATTTACAGTAGAGATATTACATTTCAGTTACAAATTCAGCCTCTGATTCATTTATAATGCTACAAATTTCTACAGATCAGGAAAAAAGTTTCTATTTCTTTGGTTATCTGACTTTATCTCTGTAAATCCAATCTAACCAGGGCTGAAAGGACACAAAGAAAGTATCTTGCAGGTTTTTTTCCCCCTCTTTAACCTAATCTCCTGTTAAAGCCTAAAGTTAGTCCTGTTTACTTGGACATAGAGTTTACAATCCTACTTATTTGGACGGGGAAATTACAGAAAGCTGAGAGAACTGCTTTAAGTATGAAACTTCATTAAACTTCCCTGGCATACTAAACTCTTTGGCTGTAGTTTTTCAACAGTCTTTTTGGCTGGCTGCATTTTCCCCTTAGAAATCTTCCAAGGTAGCAGAGTTTAAAAACAACACTAGACATGACAGAAAACAAAGATTTTTCTGAGCGTTTTACAGAGAAACAAAAATACAGATAAAGCAATAAGGCAAACATAGACTTGCTAGCCTCCTTATCTTTTACTCAAATTCTAATCTCAAAGCCTTTGATTTGTCATAATTAAAAGTCCCTTCTTCAGCCCAAATTTTGACCCATTTGGATTTTTATATATTTTTAGAATAATGTGAAAGCTCTATCTTTTAGTCACCTTCTCTACTCCTGTCTGGGGAAGCTACACCTGTTTTCCAGGCCAATAAAATTTTTCCTAAAGGGATGTCAGTTTACAAGTGTATTCTTCTCCTGGTCCCAGGCCAAATGAAATTTTTCTAGGGAGTTTCCCGTCATCAGAATGCTGGAACCAGATAACATTCTTCCCACTACCAGTCAGTCATTTGACAACAGTGGTTATTTGTGACTGCCAGCCACGTGACTTGCCAGTATGGTTATTTGTAATATGTAGTGTGTTCTTCTCCAACTTAAGTATAGGCTTACCTATTGCCTTAAAGGGATTTCCTGGGAATCATCTGACCCCAAAATGTGGGGGCTTACCTTGATTCAGAAGAATTGAGAATGAAGGGGAGTCCAATCTCTGGGGGCAGTCTTACACAAAGTCCTGTGGTGAAAAATCTACCTGAGCAGGTTCTAGGGTTTTTTTTGAAAGGCTGTCTGGGGTCTGGAGTTTTTGTCTTGACCCATCTCTTTGCCAAAAATGGTAATGTATGAAATCTGAAATAACTGAGGATTCAAAGCTTCAAGCTTCCAAACATATGGATGTATTAAGCAATGCATGCCAATTGTAAAGCAAATTGGGGCCAGTTGGTACTGGACCCTAAATACAGAGAGACAGATTTTTATGCATTGAAAGCAAACAATTGACAGGATATAAACCAGGACACAAGATTAGGTAATCTGATTTCTAATTGGAGGAAATACTAGGGATTTTCTGAGCTGGGAGGGGGATGAGTGAGTTTGGGGGGTTGGGAGGAGGGAAAGTGAGCAGGTGGACTTTCCTGGATGGGAACAAGGATGTCACTCAATTCCTATTATGAGCAAGCACATGGAATTTCCAGGAAAATGATACTTGTTTCAAAATTTAGTCAGTTTTACAGGACAGTCAGTTTGCCTCGCACAATTCTCACAATGCTCTCATGGGAAAATAAAACAAAATAAGTAAACAAAGAATACTTGTTGTCCAGATAATGATATGCAGTTGGAGGGACAATCCATAGAGCTAATCCATCAGTATATATGTCTTGGATAGAAACTGAACATAGATAAACTAGTCTCAGAATTGAATAGGAGGAGAGTGTGCTAGATTAACTTTTCAAAATAGTCTTGTGCATCAAGGACAAACCAAGTTGAGAAGAACTCCAGGGGGAAGGAAGCCACTATAGCTTTGATCGGGTTACAGCAAAGCAAAAAAGAGACAGAAGATAATTGAGCAACCACGATTGAGTGTTTTCAAACTCTTAGAAAAGTGACTTGTGTCCAATAAATGCTGCTTTTTAAATATGATGTAACTGTTTGATCCACCACTATGTAACATTGGTGTTGAATTGTTATTGTTGTTTCCAAAAGCAGTAATGTATTTGAGCTGTTTCATTCTTGTTTTCTTGCAGCCATTGTGATCAACAATGTGCTTTTGAAAAGTGCTTTAACCTAGGAGAGGGGAATTAAGTAATAGACAAACTTGACTTCTTTAGCACCTGATTTCCATAATGGAATTTAGAGTTGCTTAAAGGAACAAAGGAGAGAGGAAAGACAAGCAAAGTAGAAGAACATAGGGTGTTATATAGGAAAACAGATTCTTGGCCTAGTTGAGCATATGATTTTGAGATTCATTTCAATGTCCTAGTAATACAAGGTGGTCAAAAAGTATTAGTATGGTTTTAAGGTTTAATAGTTTTTGATTTAAACTTTAAACTTAAAACTGCACTAAGACATTTGGAACACTCCTGTATATGAGCCTAAATTTAGGATTTCCCAGTGTTTCAGTTCCCTTATTAAATAAGTGAGGTTATAATTCTTAGCTACATCAGAGGTATGTGGTGAGGCTAAATTATGTAATGTTTATAAGATGTTGAGATCAAAAGATACTATAAAGTACAAAGTATTATTAACTATGTACTGTTCTACTTGTTTTCTTCACTGGTATAGTGATCATATCACTTTTAAAAAATCTGTTGCATTGATTCCTGTTAATTATAGTTGTGTTTTAAATAGTGATGGGGACAGTATTGGTGACTAGTCATTCATTTCCTAAATAGCTCAGTATAGCTCTTTATAGGTTATTTTTAACAATAAAAGTAATTATTAGGCAGTCTAATACCATGTTTTGCAAGATAACCTGCTGTTCTGTGGAAGTTTAATAAATGTTAACTAAAAATAATAACTATCTAAGTAAAATCATCAGAGTCACAAGAACTTTGAGAGGGCTTACTGCTTTCACAAATGTAGGAGTAACAAGGACTGACTTCTGCGGGTAAGTGGAAGGTGCCTTATCTGACTTTTATCTTTCATTCTACAAATGTGATGTCTTTCAGTGAGATTATAAATGGATTATTGCTACTCATGTCTGAGCTGGAAAGTAAGTTCAAGGTCTCCATGTTTCTTATTTAATACTTAATGGCTACCATGGATCTCATGACTTCACATAGCAACTTGAGTCTGAAAAGTGATTAATTTAACTAAATCTGATAGTCAGGTGACAACTATCACAGAGTGTCACTGGTCTATTCGTAGTGTTAATATGAATTTATTAATTATTATTAATATGAATTAATATTAATATTCTATGCATTTTATTGTATGGTGATGGGGAGAAATAGAATCTGAGGACAAACCTATCTTCCTCAGGAGCAAAATGGAAAAATGTGAAAATTCACTGGAAAATATATGAAAGATGTTTAAGAAGGGGCTAAGGAAATGAAGGTGGCTATTGACTGATAGAAGTTCCAGGCAATAGTATTGATCTGTTTGCTTATGTTTTGATGACTTAGGCAATAAAATTAAATTAGTTGAGTACAATTTTGAAAGATATAAAATTAAAAGACAATTTTGTTGACACAAGGGTTGTTTTTCCTACTAGCTTTACTATATGTCTGAGAAGATTCCTGACAACAGCAAGTGGGGATGGAAAAATCAATGGATTTTAGTTTGGGGTCTATGGACAACAGAAAAGAAGAAAAACTTTACATGCAATTTACTTTATTTAAGGGATCCAAAAGATCACTGAATCTTAGCTTAGTCTTCTTGAATTTTCATTGTATAGATAACCAAGATAATAAATATCAAATGATCACTCTAGATATGGGGAAAGTTCAGGTCAAGAGATGATCTTGGAAATTTAGTAGATTTTTCTAGGAGCATTATAACCTAAGATCTTCTAAGAAAGCTCTATGCAAGCACTATAAATTCTCTTAAGACTAATATCAGGGTTGTCAAAAATACTGAAAAAATCAAATGCAGTCTAATTTAATCAGAAAGTTACCTAAGTAAATTATAAATATAGTATAAATCTAGATGTTCTTCCATGAGATTTTTGAAATTTGTGGTTAGAATCTTTACTTTTTATTATTCAGAATACATCTAAGAAAATAAATTGGTATTTATATAGTGTATTTTACCTAATTTCTGCAAATGTTCAGGCTTTCTGTGATGGATTGTTATAGCAACCTCATGACCATGATAGAAGGCAGGAATTCTTGCCTCCATATTGCACATAACTAGAAAAAAAGCTCAAAGGCTATATTTTCCTAAAGTAGCACAAGCAAATGGCAGAGTTTAAGGTGTCCAAATTCCTTACCAAGACTTGTTTAATATCATGGATCTTGTGACTTTACCTCATATTGTGTATGTGAAAAATGACTAACTGAATCCAATGTTCACATGATAATTATCACAGGGATGAAAAGAAAAAATGAAGGTGGTGAGAAAGCGAGTGACCTCTATTAGATGAGTTGCTTAATTCTCTCCAGATTAGATCATATTTGGTCTTGAATGCAAGAAAAGATTAAAATCAAAAGGGGACTCACAGTCTTGAAACCTGTATTCTGGAAGTTCAGCTGCTCCCTATTCTGAGCATATCAAGCTTTCTGGATTTGAAGAAGATAGGAGGATCCTTTATCATTAGGAGAACACAGTCTTTCCAAGATAGCCTATTTTTAATTGATGTGGAGGGTGGACCTGAATGTGTTGGGTAACCTGAAAAAAGTCATCGATTTTCTGTTTCTTATTTTTCCCTATATAAAGGCAGAAATAATAATATTGTCACCTGCTTCCTCATTCAGATATCAGAAGGTTTAATGAGATACTGCCTCTGTATCGTTCTGATGAAAGGCCCTGTAAAATGAATTACTAGTATTCCGCATGGGGTTAAGAAATGCCTTCTCTTCCCATTATGTTTTCAGCAGTACGGGGAAGGAAATTTTGCCAAGATTATTAACATGTGTTGCTTCTTTTATGTAACCTTTCCCTTTGGAATTATAAAGAAGGGCAAAGGAAATGAAAGTGGCAGTTGACTGATAGAATTAAAAAACACATATAAATAAAGTCGATCAGTTCCGAGAGACATTATTGATCTGCTTTGCTTATGTTTTGATGACTTAGGCAATAAAATTAAATTAATTGAGTAAAAATTTGAAATATTTAGAATTAAATACAAACGTGTTGAAAGAATACTAATTCACAGGGAGAGCAATAAGGAAAGGGTCTGAGATCTCATCGGTGCAGGCAATTACTCATCACCTCTTGCAACCAGTGCAGGTTGGAGCTTTCTCTCTAACTCATACTCTAGAATTGCCTGGAGAACTGAGGGGGTAACTGGTAAGCCCAGGGTCACATAATCAGTATGTCTCTTAAGCAGGACTTGAATCCAGGTCTTCCTAGTTCTCAGGTCAGTGTACTATGAAAAGTTAATCACTTTCTGGATGTTTTCAGTTTTCAGAGCTGTCAGCTGGTAATATTGCAATAGTTCTATAAACTGAGGATGTTTGATAGTACTCTTTTAAGGGAGAAATGCTTAGGAATACCTGAAATGTATAAGTGTTATTGAACAGCATGGCCATTATTCTATCAGAAAGGTGAGAAAACAATAACAATAGTTTATAAATAATGGTGGGAATAGCAGAACAGAAGAAGTGGTAGTGTTCCAATTAGAAATATCCAGATAGAATATCAGTTTTGTTATATAATCAAGTGAGTGATTAGGGTATTGTGAAATACTTAGTACAGGTATTCCAAAACACTTCATAAAGCTTTAATAATTTAGAAATTCACTAAGACTTTTGGACTACTAGTATTAGGTTATCTTAGAGAACCTGGAGAACTTTGACTATTTTAAAATAGTTAAACAAAAAGCATTTGTTATATGCTTATTATATGACGGCCACTCTAAGTGTTAAGGATATATATCAAAAAAGCAGCAGACTACTTGCCTTCAAAGAGCTCACCTTCTAATCAGGGAGAGTAGATGTCCATATATACATATGCATAAGTATCTACTCTTATATGCTCACAAAATACATGAAAAATGCCTAAGAGTCTTAATTTGAGGGAACCTGCTATGTTTCAAGGAGTTCATTCAATATTTGGATAGCTTTAATTGTCAGGAAGTTTTCTCTTATGACAAATCTAAAGAGGCGATATGGTACGTTACAAAGAGTATGAAATTTAATGTAAGGTTAACTTGGTTCAAATTCACAGCCTGCCGCATATCATCTGTGTGTCCCTGGGTGGGTCATTTATTTTTCATGACCTCAGTGTTACCATCTACAAAATGAGGAGGCTGGAATAAATGACTTCTAAAATTCCCTCTTTCTCCGATTCCATAATCCTATGGTCCTGCATTTGATAATTTGACACTTCTATTAACTAATTTCCATCAACTCAATTCAACTGGATCTGACAAGCAAAAATAATGTGGTCATTTTTTTTTCTTGACAAATTTGCTTTATCTAAAAAAAAATATGAAGAGCAAAATGACCATATTTCTTAGCATTTAAAAGACAACCAGGAAGGCTAAGCAGTTATATACAATAGTTTCATTTCCCAAAGTTGTAGGAGTTAACTGCAGTTACTTAGGGAACAGTCACACAGGTTGAGAACTACCCTGGGATTATTTCTTCGCTTCTGAGTTTTTGTGTGTGTGTGTCTTTTTTGGGGGGAGGGGAGGCTGACTTTGTCTCCATGAACTAATGTATGCATCTGAGGATGAACTAGAGAAATAAAAAGAGATAAAGCTCAAAGAAATCCACTTTCACGACTTGGAAAATTATCAGCTTCAAAATCAAAACAAGGAATATTCTTAGGCATGATCAAAATGGTGTATAGTAACCCTTTAATTTTTGCCCATCCATAAGGTCAAGGATGGTGCTAGGAAAAAGTCAGGAAGCAGGCTAAAATTTGTGTGGCATGATCTCCCACTTCTATTTTCCCTCCTTCATTAAATCTAGGTGCTCAAAATCCTGTACCCAAGCTGACCTACTCAGGTTGTTCCCTATATCAATTTCTCTTTGCTTTTCTCTCTTGTATTTTTTTTTTATTATTATCCAGATGCATACCCTTGGTTATCTATTAAGACAAGAAGTAATTTGGTAAAACTAGCCAACATTAAGGTATTAAATAAGGCTATGATTTATTATGCTACTCCTCCAGAACTTTTTTTTTGCTTAAAAAGAAGCAATATTTTAATGCAAATCGATGAATATCTAAGATAGGATTTCAAAAACCATTGACAAGTCAGTGGGAAAGATAGACCACAGGCAAGAAGGGCTTCTTCATATGTCACCATCTACTCTTCTCACAGTCAAAGCTGGACCTGTTTCTGACCTGCCCAAAGGAATGAGTAGCTAACTAGTTATGGGTATGACCATAAGTTGTGTTTCAAAATAAATGGAAGAGGATTCTAGGTATTGATTATGAAGGAAGACACATATTCCACTGTATCAGGATTTTGAACTCTATCACTTACTCTACAGAAGCCCTCTTCATACTAGTTGTTGGGTCATTTGAAGCAAAATCTTGGTAAGGCATATACAGTCCTCCTGTAACTATGGCTACCTTTCAGGATAGAATTTAAAAGGCTGCATCTGAGTTTTGGTTTTTTTTTTAAATTTTGTTATAAAGGTTGTCTCTGGGGTGGGAGGAGAAAATGGAAAGAGATTCAAGGGACAATTTAGACAATGAAAAAGGAAAAAAAATCAATAAACTTAATCTAAAAATAAATCTATATTACTTTGAGGTTAAAAATGACACCTTTAGTCTTCCTGACTTCTCAGTCACTTGGAGCAATTTGGTAGTCTCAAATGCCACCTGAATACTATTACAAATGGGACTCATCTTGATGAATGCTAATCAAAGCTGGCAAACGCATCCATGAGCTGTGATGATTTTGACTATGAAGATGTCATGTTCATAAATATAACTCACAATAAATATAATTATATTCTTTCTAGATGGAAAGAAAATGATGCCACTGATTCATCATTACTAGAGCATAAACTTTGCATTGGATATCTAGCAGAATGCTTTCTATACTCCAAGTGGAGACAGACTTGTGTTTATCAACCTGATACGTACTTTTTTTTTCTTTTGAGGATTATACTATATAGCTCATATTGTGCTAGGCTGTCTGTGTTCTCATTTGCTCTATCAACCTGGTGAACTACAACATTCATCTGCAATCATGTTGAGTGGTGAGGCAGGAAGATGGGTGATGTCTGTTCTGGAACAAAGCTAATAGATCCATGCAAGTTTTGAGACACTGGCCTCCTTACCCTCAGTCATTAACCTGAATAATTATGGCAATTATGGTAACATCCTTTTACTTTATAGGTGAACTTAATTGATCCTGTTTCCTTAGGTAAACTAAGAAGAAGCCATGAACCTTCCATCAAATGACTGGTAAGTGGGGAAGTTTGTGCTTCCTTGTTTGCTTATGCAGTGAACATTAATAGATGTGAGAAGGCTGGATTGGAACTAGGACACTTAGCACTCTTCAATCTTCTTCCTATTTATTACTAGAATTATTTTGAATAAACCACATAGTTACCATGAGTTTCAGTCTCTTCATCTATAAATAGAGATAATAATACACAATACGGTAGAGTTTTTTGAGAATCAAACGAGATAAAATATAGAATGATTAGTAAACCTTGAAACACTATATAAATGCCTGGTATCAATATCACCATTATTGTTAATCCAATTTCCTATCTTCCTTCCTTCCTTCCTTCCTTCCTTCCTTCCTTCCTTCCTTCCTTCCTTCCTTCCTTCCTTCCTTTCTTCCTTCCTTCGGTTCCTTCTTTTCCTAATGAGGAAACTCCCTCTAATAATGCAGATTGCAACTTACCTGCAATTTATAATCTTAGAGATTTGCCCAGAGTGATAAAATATCAATTTTTTACCTAGGGTTACACAGTCAGAATATGTTCTTGGCTTCAATGCCAACTCTCTATTCACTATGAAATACTGCATCTCTGTCTTACTATTGTTTTTTTTTTAATTTAGTGTTGTTATTGATAAAAGAGCAGCAATATAATATTACCCCCCTTTTCTGTGTATTCGTGAAATGTAATGTCTCCTGATTCATATTAAATAGTTTTACCTTCTTTCACCATAGGGCAGAACAAAATGTCTTCAGCTTAAAACACTCAGGAACAGGATTAGATTTATTTAAAAAAAAAAGATATTTCTGATTTCTTGTAAGGACTGTGAGAATTTTAAATAATAAAATATTTAAATTTGAACGATGTATCAAGTTTTACCTCCAAACAAATACAGTATTTTACAGTATCACTGAAATATGACCATTCAGCCTCTGTTTGACTACTTCCAGCATTTGGGAATTCTCCCTCATGAAACAGCCATTTCTACTGTTGGATAGATATAACTGCTAGAAAACGCTTCTTTGTATTGAACCCAAAGTGTTTTCCTTCTAGTTTACTTCCGTCTTCTGTAGTTATACAGAATAAGCATCCTTTTTTTTTCACATGACAGACTCTAAAATAATTGAAGAAATTAGATTTGTCATTCTCCCTTTAAAGTCTGTTCTCTAGATTGAACATTCCTAGTTCCTTCAGCCAGTGTTTTCTTCATTTAACATGGTTTCTTTGCTTTCAATCTCCCTGTCTCTCTCCTCTGACCATATTTGGGTACACTTATGTTCTTCTGCAAATGGATCAAAATTTCCAGACTGTCCTCACTTGTACAGAGTGTGATAAGATCACTACTTTCACTAATCACAAATGTTTTACCAAAGGACAAAACGAAGCCTTTTGCATGTAGTTTGATTTTATTTTTTTTTAAATACATGTTTATTGATATTTTGATTTTTTATGCCACCATAATTTCCCTCAGTATTCTTCCTCCTCCTTTCAGATAACCATTCCATATGATGAATAGTATTTTAAAGACAAAAAAAAGTAAAAAAAGATAATCAACATAACTGATCAATATATTGGAAAAAGTTTAAATAAATGCAATGTTAAATATATATCTTGTGGACCAGAAATACTCTTCTTCCTTCATCCCCGCCTCTTCAAAATTTCTCTTGATAGTCTCTAGATCTTAAATTTTTAAATATTAATTTTGTTATTATTTTATCAATTTCTGTAAAATGTCTGTGATAATTTTATTGACATGGACTTAAAATATGAATTAACTTTGGTAATATCAAATAGATAAGAACAATGTATCCTTTTTTTTCCATCTAAGAACAAATACTGGTCTCAGCTTGCATTGTAACATAAAACTTAGTGCTTGAAGCCAATTAGGTTTAATTTTAAAACAGATAAATATTCTCTTTGTAATCCTGTTTATGCTGTTATAGCATAAACTTAAGAAGGCAATGGAGAAAATATTAACAATGCAGATCAAAATGAAAAGTGTTTCATACACATTTTTTTTGGAGGGAAAGCAAATTCTAAAATATTTAAGAGCACACTGTGCTATAGTGTATGGGCTACTAGATCAACTATAACCAGACTTACAGGCTGGGTACCCAAAGTATTGCTTAGCCTTCCTCAAGGTTATCAGAGTAACTTTGAGTGACTATGGAGGGGTACTTCAGTATTACCACTCAAAAGCCCTATCAAGTGTGTTTTCGCTAATATCAGTGATCAGTTCACAGCTGCCTAATGTCCATCAGCCAATGAGCTTTTACAGAGTAACATTTACTGGAAAAGTAAAGGAAGGACAGAATTACAATACAAAACAAAACAAAACAAAACAAAACACTCTCCTGTTCTCAATCAAGGCACACTGTCCCACTATGGTCAGTAGAGGGAATAGAGTTAAGCTTGATGTGGTTATTATCATACATTCTCTCCCACCAAAATTTATTTCTGGATTTAGCATCCTGATGATTTAGTTGTTTCCTTGCTCACTGGAACTCATACCTTGGCTTTTGGATTGAGTCACTGCTGAGTTGGATCAAGTAGTTTGCTTCTCATATGTGCCTCCCCCTTAGACTTGGGTATTGCAGCTACTGGCAGACTCTGGTATGGACTCTATTTGCAGGAACTCCAGTGGCTCTTTTGCCTTTTTAAAATTCAGAAGGTCATAACTATTTTTTTTCCTGCCTCTAATACTTAGTGACTTAAGAGTAGGAAAGACATTGGGCAGCTAGGTGGCGCAGTGGAGAAAGCACCAGCACTGAAGTCAGGAGGACCTGAGTTCAAATGTGGCCTCAGACACATAGCAATTGACACTTACTAGCTGTGTGACCCTGGGCAAGTCACTTGATCCCAATTACCTGAAAAAAAAAGAGTAGGAAAGACTTGATCCATCAATAAACATTATTAAGTGCCTACTATGTGCTAAGAAATATACTAAGTGCTGGGGGTAAAAAAAGAGGCAAAGGCAATCTGTCTTCAAGGAGCTTACAATCTAACAGGAGAGACAACGCCCAAGCAAATATAAACAAAGCAAGTTTCATACAGGATAAAGAGGAGATAATTTATAGAAAAAAGGCACTAGAATTGAGAGAGTTTTAGGAAGGCTTTGAAGAAAAAACAATAATCCCTTGCACTAGTGGCCTGTTGGTAACCTGGGTGAGTTGGGGGAGGCACTCCCATTGAGCAGTTCACAGCACTTCTGGCCTCACTAGCTACCAGGGTAAAGAAAGATTTAATTTATTTGTACCTTTTGAATTCATACTCAGCTGTAGCTCAGAAGCTTTTTATCATCATGCAATCAATAAGAATACCTATACCTACTCTGAATCAGGGAAGAAAAATGAACCCTCCATGAGGAATTTCTGGAAGCAGGCTCACCCAATCTCCATGTTAGTTGTTGAAGTTGCCTGTTTTTATGGACAGTTGTTGGCCTCTCTATTTTATCTTCATTGCATAGATACCTTAATTGTATAGGTGTAAGCTGAAAAAAAAATTTCTAATATTATCCTCACTGTTAGAGCTCTGATAGTTTTTCTTTTTCCCTACACCTCAATCATAGACACTGAGTTAAAAAAAAAAATCTGGTAAAACCAGATATGAACCACATTAGGTATAGAAGTTGCCCTGGGGTTGTGAATAGATTTGAATTAAGGTATATAAACATTTTACCTCAAACACACTAACTATTTTTGGCTACATTTTTATAAAGCAAAGTTTTTAGTAGTTCTCTATCATTTGACCCTAAGTACTATTCATTTCTCTGTGTTCGCATATCTCATCTGTTCCTTTCCCTTCATTCGCATAGCCACCACCCTCATTACTACTCTCTTGAATTATTGTAATTATCCCTAATTAATCTTTCTACTTCCCTTTCCAATTCATTTTCTATACACTGCAAAAATAATTTTCCCGAATCACAGTCTTGACCATTTCACTCCCTTGCTTAGAAACCTTAAGTTACTTCTTCTTGCCTCTAGCATTAAATAAAAACTCCTCAATCTAATATTTAAGACCCTCTACGACCTGGTTCTAATTTTCTTTTCCAACAGGATCTTATATTGCTTCAGGCACTCTACATTCCACCTGAACACGTTAATTTTTCACTTGCACTTGTGTGGGCAGTATACAGATTCATGTTAACCCTCTTTTTGTTTTAAATGAACTCCCTTCTCATTACTACTTTTTGTATTCATCTTCACAAGTCACACCCCCTTCTCCCACATCCAATAAATTGCCATGAGCTGGTAGTTTAACACTTGCAACATCTTTTTTTCTGACACTGCCACTGCTTTGATTCAGGCCCTAATCACTTCACAATGGCCTATTGCAATAGCCTATTGGTTGATATGCCTGCCTCACACTTTTGTTTTGTTTTGTTTTGTTTTGTTTTTTACAGCTCTAATCCATCCTCCATGCCTTCCTTGCTGTTTCTCAAATAAGATACTCCATTTCTTGGGTTTGGGCATTTTCTCTGGTAGTCTGGAATGTCTAGAATACTCTCCTTCTTCATCTCTGTCTACTGGTTTCCTTTAAATTTCAACTAAAATCCTTTCTTAAGAAAGGAAGCATTTTTTCCAGCCCCTATTAATTCTAATGCCTTTCCTCTTTCAATTATTTCCTATTTATCCTGTATATAGCTTTTCTGTACATAATTGTAACCATATGGTATCCTCCATTAGAATCTGAGCTCCTTAAAAACAAGAACTATCTTTTGCTTCTTTTTGCAATCCCAGCATTCAGAAGAGTGCTTTGCATAGACTAGGTGCTTAATAAATATTCACTGACTGAGGGAAATTTCCATGTAAATGTTGTCACTGAGTTTGATGAATTTCTTTCCTTACCTTTACCATTTTAGATCCATGAAGAGATAAGAGGTATTAAAACACCCAAAACATTCTGAAACATTTCCCTTACTTCAAAATGATCTTTGCCACTAATGATATCTGGAACACTTCCTTGAGATGACACAATTAATATGAGGAAATCTTACTTCAAAATTGACACATAACATTGCAATAAACGCCATACAGGCTTTTGTTCTAAACTAATCACCGTAGAGTCATATGCATATAATCCTTGATCATTTGAAAATCATTAGAATACTACATGACCTCTTATATTCCAAACACCTTAAGAACTCTATGAAAATTAATTTCCTTATAAGGTAATTAACTCTCCTCAATACAATAAAATTAATCATTCAACATGGCTGTGCTGTGAAAAGCAAGACTATTGATGTCCTCTCCTTAGAGCTTAGGCTAAAGAAGGCCATTTTGGAGAATACCTATGGTGGGGGAAAAGAGAAAGTCTCAACATTTTATTGCATCTTCAGGAGAATATGGAATCAAATAGCAGGCAGGCAACATGGAAGTCAAGTGGGAGGTCTGGCAACAAGTAGATACAAACCCAGCAGCTGTTGTTTGGGGGCAGAGTTCCAGTCTCAAGAAAGGCAGGCATTTAATGACAAGGGAACAGGAGACACTGTTAATAATGATTATAATAATAATAGTAGCTAGAATTTATACATTGCTTTAAAGTCTTCAAAGTGTTTTCCATATCAGATCTCAGTTGATCTTCAGAATCTGATGGGTAAAAAATATTGTTCTCCCCATATTACAGATGAAGAAATAGCTTGGGAAAGGTTAACTGACTTGCCTAGGGTCACACAGCTAATTGTCTGAGGCAGGATTTGAACTTAGGTCTTCCTAACTCCAAGGCAACAGTGCTGTATCCACTATGATGGTAATTGTAAATGAAGTACAAAATGGAGGGGGTAGGGCAACTTGACTGAAATGGAGGTCAGCTTTTAGAATTAACTAGTTAGAATTAATTATTAATTATGTTTATTATTTAGAATTAGAATTAGTTCAAGATTACAGTAGAACAGGCAAGAAGAGTTTCTTGATGGTGAAATAACTTTGATGGGCCATTATATCTCTTTCCCTTGAGGGAAATCACCCCAGGACCTGCACTGGGCAGATTCAAGAGTTACTTAACTAAATCCAGCTGGACAGAAATAGGGACTGAGACAGGCTTGTCATTATTGGGCTACAGTTTGGCAACAAATGCTTTTAAACTTTTCTTTGGGTCTTGTCTTTCCTCACTTAGAAAAAGGAGAGCTGTGTCCTAAATACTAGGATTACTTGTTTATAGTTAGCTCTCTCACATTCATCATATAGCTCTTTTACCTCTGTATTTATTGCTTGATATAAAGTAAGGAGGCTTTAGGAATATTTCATAAATAAAACTGAAAAATGAGTTGCCAAAAGCAAATAATTCATCCCAAGGCAGCCCACTTACTAATGGTGTATTTAGTTTGATTTTCAGAAAGCAAACTTTGTTGTGCTTTTTTTGTTTGTTTGTTTGTTTGCCAGGAGAGGACCTGAAGTTTATCTAGTTAGGCAGAAGTAGCCAGAACTTAAGCTCTAATGTAATAAATCACAAATTTTAATATTAAGTCATTGTTCATTACCTATAGTTGGATTTATTCGGATTTTCTTTTTTTTTCACTTTAAACAACAAAATGAAGGCATGAAATAATGTAATTGACTTTAAAAAATAATAAGTTTGTCTGAAACTAACCTTCAGTGAAAAACTCAGTTGATAATCTAATCGTTTTTCTTTATTTCAGGAGCTGTTGGGCTTTAATATCAATTTGTTGCTTATTTTGGAGAGTGAGTGGATCAAACCCAGCTATGAATTCTAGGCCTAATATTGTACTCTTCATGGCAGATGACCTTGGCATTGGAGATTTAGGTTGCTATGGTAATAATACAATGAGGTAAACACCAGACACTGTTTTCTATTCCTTTATAACACAACAGATAATTCAAGCAGTGAGCATCTTTACTTCAATTAAGATTTTCTTTTCTTTTCTTTCTTTCTTTTTTTTTTTATAATCCTTATAAACCAACACAGATGAATAAAACTCAGTGGTCAGTGAAGCAATCAGGCTAGCCCTAGGCAAACTTAAGAACTAACGAAAGTGTCTCTGGTGCCCCCTACTTCTACCATCCCCTATCTTTCCTTCATAGTTTCTTCCCGTATTTTCTCCGGGATTCTCCCTTCACTCTCAGAAAAGGATTTATTAGAATTAATTAGAATTTGCACTGGTATGAATTTAACTCAGTGTTATTAATATCAGGAATATTTATATTTTAGAACATTTTTCGTTGTGGAAGAAAGGGTTTTGGCCTTTGTTAATGTAGTGTGAGGCAGATTTGAATAGGTGAGTTTTTTTTCAGAAACCTTCTCATTACCCCTAGAATCACAGCATATAGGCAGCCACATAATTTGCCCTCATTAAGCACCTTTGTACAATATATAGTATCCTGATAATTGGTCACTGAGGACTAATGAGAGTGGGTGGAGAGAGCTCAGCCAGTATTAAGTACACCTGCATTCTCACCATTTTGTATTGAGCAAGGTGTTGATTAATGCACCATGTGCATGATAGTGAATCATGTGAAGTGGTTGCATGTACTAAAAGTCATACTATTTATAGTTAGAATTATGTAAAATATGAGACTTGGTCCCACTGCAGTGGAAAAATGCAGTGCAAATTCTAATAATGTGACCACTTCAAAGGATTTATTATTTACATTGAGACCTAGCTGTATAGCGATATAGCTGAACTCACGAGATATTACATATGTTGGGCACTACTTTGTATCCTCAATGTTTCCTAGTTGTCTGAAAGGTTGGCAAAATGAAGGTAGTTCATTCTTGTAATATTTGGGTTAATTAGTTGGAAATATAAAGGCAGCATATCGTAGTGAAGAGAGTGCTGACTATTAGGAAGACTTGGATTCCAGCTACCCCTAGAGTTAGAAGAAACCTCAGCAGCCATCTTTTCAAACCCATACCCTCAATTAATCCCCATTTGACAAAGCTTGACCATTCTACCCTCTGCATGAAAACCTCTAATGAAACAGAACTTGCTACTTTCTAACATGGGCCATTACACATGTAGACGACCACAGTCATTTTTCCCAACATTAAATCCAAACTTATTGTCTTCATAACTTACACTCATTGCTTCTGATTCTAATCTTTGTGGACAAACAGAACCCGTGTAATCCCTTTTCCACACTAAGCCCTTCAAAACTTTGAAGACTGCTATCATGTCTCCCATGAATCTTCTCATCCCAAGTTCTCCAACTGATTCTTGTGCAACATGGATTCAAGGCCCTTCACAGCTCTGGCTGTTCTCCTCTGAGCATTTATCTTGTATCGATGCCTTCCAAATATATGTTGCTGAGAACAAAGCAAAACACTCCAAATGTACTATATGCCCAGGACAGAATGCAGTGAATTTTCCCATCCTAATTTCTAGATACTATACCTCAAACTTACAGACCAAAATCACACCAGTCTTTTTTTGGCCTGCTATATCACACTATTGACCCCTAGGTAATTTTAAAACAAATTGCTAGCTAACTATTTCCCCCATCCCATGCTTTTGAATTCAATCTTTTTGCATCCATGGAAGATTTTACATTTAATTCTATTAAAATTAATTTTCTTAGGTTTATTCTAATACTGACTCTATAATCCAAATGTATTAGCTATCCTTCCCAGCTTTGACAAACATGTCATTTATGCCTTTATCCAAGTCTTTGATGGAAAAATTAAATAGTACAATTGAAGAGAAAAGCAAAAAATAAATAAACAAACATTTATTAAGGTTCAACTATGTGTCAGGCCCTCTGCTAAGAACCTTAAGAATACTATCTTATTTAATTCTCATAACAACCCTGTGGTGCAGTGGGCGTGGGCAGGTGGTGGCTATTATTATCTCCATTTTATAGTTGAAGAAACAGAAGCAGAACGAGGTTAAATGACTTGTCCAGGGTAGCATAGTAAGTGTCCAAGGTTGGATTTGAAGTCAAGTCTCATTAACTCCAGGTCTAGAGTTCTATACACTAGTGGTTTCACCTGACTGCCTCCTTGGTGCCATCAAAGGACCAAACATAGATATCTGGGGTACTCCACTGGAGACTTTCCCCTAAATTAATATTAAACCATAACCATTTAACTATTTCAAAATGCATCTGATAGAAGTATTGCCCAATACACATTTATCCAACTTCCTTCCACACACAAATAGCATGAGATATCTTAACAAGTTTTTTTTTAATCTAGATAAACTATGTCTACAACAGTCTCCTGTTCTATCAGTTTAGGGACAGATAAGGTTAGTCTGCAATGACTTTTCCTGTATGAAACCATGCTGTCTCTTTGTCTTCATGATGTCCTTTTCTAGATGTTTAGAACCATCTCTTTAATAATTCTGAATTTTTCCAGGAATGAAAATAAAGTTAATTGACCTATAGTTTAGAGGCTTCTCTTCTCTTCTCTTCTCTTCTCTTCTCTTCTCTTCTCTTCTCTTCTCTTCTCTTCTCTTCTCTTCTCTTCTCTTCTCTTCTCTTCTCTTCTCTTCTCTTCTCTTCTCTTCTCTTCTCTTCTCTTCTCTTCTCTTCTTCTCTTTCCTTCCCTTCCTTTCCCTTCCCTCTTTTCTTAATTCTTCCCTTCCCTCCTTTCTCTTCCATTCTCTTTCCTTCCCTTACCTCTTCTCTTCCCTCTTCCCTTCTCTTCCCTCTTCTCTTCTCTTAACTTTTCTTTTCTCTTTCCTCTTCCTTTCTCTTCCCTCTTCCCTTCTCTTGACTTTTCTCTTCTTTCTTTCGAATATTGAAACATTTGCATTTTTCCAGTGCTCTGATACCTCTCCAATTTTCCATGGTTTTTCACATATTACTGACAGTGGATCAGAAGATCATATTCTATTGTTCTTTAAGGATGTAGCTGATCTGGATTATTTGGCTTACATTTATCATGGGCAGCTTGGTACTTTCTTATTATTTTATCACTTATTTTGAATCAACCTCCTATTAGTTATTATGGTTGCAACCTTTTTTTCAGGACTTCTTTTATTTTTTAGTTATTAAGCATTTATATTTTTTCTTTCCATCTTCTATTCACGCCTCTTATCTGATTGAAAAATAGAAAACACTTGTAACATATAAGCATAATCAAACAAAGCAAGTTTCCACATTGGCCCTGTCCAAAAACGTACGTCTCATTTTGCATATTAGCCCTTTACTTCTCTGTAAGGAAATGGGAAGTAGTCTTCATCATCAGTTCTTTGCAGTTAAGATTGATCATTGCATTGATCAGAGTTCTTATGTCTGTCAAAATTGCTACTTTTTGCAATATTGATATTATAATTGTTCTTTTGGTTCTGCTTGCTTAGTCCCACATCAATTCATATGTCTTCCCATATTCTCTGAAACCATCATTATTTCTTACAGCACAATAGTATTCCATTACATTCATATGCCATAATTTTTTCAGTCATCCCCTAATTGCCACTGCAAAAAGAGCTGCTATAAATATATATATATATATGTATATATATATATATATACATATATATATATACATATATATGTATATATTTTTTTTTTAACATGTAGGACATTTTCATCTTTCTTTTATCTCTTTGGACTATAGGCCTAGTAGCGGTATCTTTGGATCAAAGAAAACATCCAGGCTAGTTAGACATAATTCCAAATTGCTTTTCAGATAAACTGGTAGCTCCATCAACAATGAATTAATATGATTCTTTTTCTTGCAGCCCCTCCAGTGACATTGAGATCTTAACGTTGTAAGATATGTCTTAAGATCTGAGTATTTTTATGCTTTGATCATTTACCAATTGGGAAATGTCTCTCATTCTAATAAATTTGAATCAGCTGCTTATATATCTTGGAATTGAGATCCCTTTCAGAGAAACCTGTTGCAATAATTTTTTAAGGTTAATTGCATCCCTTCTAATCTTAGCTGAACTCAATTCGCTTATGCAAAAACTTTTAAAAATCTATGTATTCAAAATATTTGAAGAATTGGACAGCTCTACCTTGTTTATATTGCAAGTTATTAATGTCTTCATCTACTATGAACGGTGGTAATATGCCTTCTTTGATCCCTCCCAGAATAGCTTTATAAAAGACAAAACCATTTTTTTCCTTAGCTTTTCTTATTAAGCTCATCTCCTTCTGAACTTAAGTACTCCTGAAACTATTGTGATTGATCTGTTGTCAGTATTAATTACCAGTTGCCTGCTCCTTATATTATCTTTTACGTATCTTTAAAAAACATCTAGGTTGATTGATGTTTTCTGTATGTCCACATCTCTCTCTCCGGAGAGGAACAACTAAACAAAATAAGCAGAGAGACACATTTGTGAGGATGATCCATGTACTTGGGACAACTCATTATTGTGAACTATAGGTTTTGAAGTCCTTGGTCCCTTTGTGAGAAACCTGTACCACACAAAGTCATTTCTCTACCATAATTTCCCTTCTGATCCTCATTGATCTTCTGCTGAGCAACTCTGATCCTCTTCTACACTTGAAATGATACAAAAGTAAGGAAATCTTTTAAATCATAATCATCTTGAAAAAAAGTATTGAGAAACAGTTTCATAAATACTTTCATTAAACCAGCAATTGTGAAGCCCTTTAGTCTGAAGACAAGCTGAAATAGCTCTTTACTCAACAAGATGCTGACTCATCTAATCAGTTTCAACTTATACTTACAATAAAGCAGATGCAGTTTGTCCCCCCCACCCCATACTTATCTTTCTACAACTGCAGAGAAAATCAGAGAGAAACAAGCCTTTTCTGAGAGGTTTTGACTCTTTGTCCTTTGGTTTATCTTTTAGGTAGTGCTGAATGACAGTAGTGGAAACTATAGCAGAGTTTACCTCTCCCTTAGTCAAAAGGCTCCATGGGCTTTTTCTCTAGCTAAATGACAACATGATGGTTAAATTTCAGTCAGCAGCATCCCTAGAATAACTCCTAAAGTCTTTCTGTCAGCTGAACAATTCTGCTATCATTTTCTCACTCATTTCCTGCTGCCCTCGTTCCATCTCCTGCTGGGTTCTTCAACACTCTTAATGGCTTAGGATAGAGCATCTTGGTACTTGGTGATTTTCTGTTATGAAGTAAAACTGACAAAATCAACCCCACTGTTAGTTATGCAATGAGTAGTTCTTATTTCATCACCCCATAGTCTCTGAAAACTTATTTATCATTATATGAATTTTATTCTAACAAGCTCTAAAAACATGCAAATGAACTGAGGGAACACAATGGCCTACAACCTCAATCATTTGTTTTTCTTTAAACAGTTCCTCTCATATCTCTATTCGGTCCTTTGCCAGTACATGTCTGCCATTTGAATGGGAAAACTATTTCTTTACGCTTGAGTTTCAATAGTTTTTCACGCACAAAAATCATTTGCCCCTTGTTTATAACCAAACTGTTTACATATGGAAGTCAGTAATGTACGTATTTGACAAGTTAATTTTTTTCTTTACAGGTGTTCATTTTTCCCCGTCAGAGTACATGGTTCTTTCTTTTTCAACAATCAAATTGCGTATGTGAGGAAGGACCAGTACCTTACACACTGATGATAAAAATTGCTTATCTTTCTTCTTTCAATCATGTTCTTGCAAATGATTGTTATGTATACGTTGTATGAACCTGAGCATGTTACTTAACACCTGCATGTCTTAGCTATTCCTTTGCTCTTATCTTCTGTAATTTCTATCACTGACAGCTGGATATTCTTGTAATTGGAAAAAAATGTAAGCATAAGAACTAGAACTAGAAATTAACAACAACATTAACAGAGTATTTCACCTCCCTTAAGTAACACAGTTTAGTCACAGATAAGGCTAATTTGTTCTATAAAAGATCTTTAAAATTTCCATCTAAACAGCCTATGTATCATTACTTTCAGTTCTGTCTAATTGACATAATACACATTACTCCTGTTAAAACTGTCAGCTATTTTGTCAAAAGAAATACATTCCCCCTAACTGTGGATAGAATTTAATATTTTGTCTAGTTGGTTGATGATAGTTATTCAAATAAATATTTGTCAATACTTCCTCAAATATCTATTTGTTGGTAGAGAATACTGAAATTTTCAGTGTAGAATGCAACTCTGTTACAACTTGATTAGTGGTCTTCATGTTCACCACTTTCTAGCCAAACTGGACATCAGCCTTTTCTGCTCCCACTGAGGATGGTCCTTACACAACACACATGCATTGTATCATCTGATCCATACTTGAAGACTTCTTAGTTTTGTAGAGATTCCAAGAGATTATAGTTCATTGGCAAAATATTTAAGAATATTGGATCACTTCCATTTCATAATGGGCTACCAGAGCAGGATCAGAGAGACAACATGGTACAGTAGGAAAATTGCTGGATTTGGAATCAAAGGACATGAGCTCAAATGTTGTCTCTGCCACTGACTACCTGGTAGACCTTAGTCAAGTCACCTAATTTTTCTCAGCCTCATTTTCCTCATCTGTAAAATGAAAGGATTAAATTAGATGACCCTAAAGTTCCTTCATTTCTAAAATTATAATTCTGTGATTCTTATTGTAAAAATGTCACAACATACAAAAAGGAATTACCAGAACTGGACAAAAAAATCCTCTTCTGAGTTGGTAACCATTTAATACTGATCCATTTTGTTGGAATTAAAATCTCAATGTTTCATAATCTTTCTTTGGATTTTAGCACCCCTAATATTGACCGCCTTGCTAGAGAAGGGGTAAAACTCACTCAGCATCTAGCAGCAGCTTCAATGTGCAGTCCAAGCAGAGCTGCCTTCCTGACTGGCAGATACCCCATCAGATCAGGTTTGGAAACTTTTCAATATAGTAATATTTTCTAATAACAAAGCACTTCCTGGGTAATTATTTTGCAAGTCTACAAAATAACTGAAAAAGTTTGTTCAAGACACCAGACACATATTTCTTTTCAAATTATTTATAGTAAATATCACACATCTTTCAAAAGGATTTGGTAGGATAGTTGTGGGAAGTATGCCTATAATTTCATTAGTATAGTGAATTCCTAAGTGAGGAAAGCCCTTCTGTTTACATAGATTGGCACCTTCTCTGCAACTTATTGTCTTATGTAGTTACCTAGAGGACTGAGAGGTTGCAATGGCACTACTGAATATGTCTAATGGGTCAGAGGCAGGGCTTAACAGGGCCCCTGACTCCAAGATTGGCTCCCTATCCACTGTAGCACATTCTAATGCTGATATGCATATATATGTATATATATATATATATATATATTTTTTTTTTCAGTGATAAAGATACAGCAAAACTTGTTCGAAGAAGCAGAGAAACAGATGTACCAAATAAATAGAACTACTTAATAGCAGCTATGTACAAATCTATATAGACATGGAAGATAGGATGATGTGAGGGACAGTGTAAGTTTGTGTGCTCACTGTTGTGTGCCTTCATGACTTAGGCAGCAGTTGTATACTACCTCTTTGGGAAGACATGTAGCAGACCTGTTCAGCTGTCACATGTTGGTCCTAGGTTCTCTAAGGGTGTCATTGGAGCTTCCCATTGGAGCTCTAGGAAAGGTGGTTTTAGGTAGACTCAAGAAATTGGAAGATGCCACTGTCTGTAGTAAAAATGTGAACAGGGCTAAAAGAAAGTTAAGTGTATGTTCTCTTGGCCTGTTAGAAAGTAAAAAGAGGTTTAGGATAAAGATATAATATCACCTCATTTATTTGACATCATGAGGGAAGTAGGCATTCCAATTAAGAGAAATACTGAAGTCATTCTTGTAAGGGCTGACATTTAAAAGTTTTAGCCATTTGAATAGAAAACTTGAAAATGGATTATCCACATCTCAGTTTTCTTAAAGATTAGGGACTGAAACTGGGCCTAGTATTTCAGAATTATAGGGAGCTCCCAAATGAAGAAACTCTCCTACCAATGCACTTGGCACCTGCAACTGAAACTTCTGTCTTAGAGAGTTGCTCAGAGATAAGTGACTTGTCTAAGGTCACATGGCCAGTATGCATCTGGGAGATTTCAACCGAGGACTTCTTAGCTTCAGGGCCAGCTTATTATCCACTATGCCAAAGAGTACTATAGAAACTTCAACTTTTTCTTAATGACTTAGAGTCCTCATAATGAATACCAATTTTATACTATACTATATTATGATCACATTTCCCAGAGGTTATTGGCTATTTAAGGCTAATTGCTTCTACATTGTTGCCACTGTCTTAAGGGTGCTATGATTATTGTTGTTATTGTTCAGTTATGGCCAACACTTTGTGACCTCATGGACCAACTGTACATGGGGTTTTCTTGCCAAAGGTACTGGAGTGGTTTACCCTTTCCTTGTCCAGTTTTATGCAGGCAGGGGTTAAGTGACTTGCCCAAGGTCACACAGAGGTCAGAGTTGAACTCTAGTCTTTCTGACTCCAGGCCCAGTGCTTCATCTGCTGTGCCACCTAGCTTCCTCATGATTATTGTTATTGGTTGTTTTTCTTAGTTCTTGTACCTACTTTTTGATGTTTTTATTTTTTTATTTTTTGTCTCACTTCTTGTCAGCTATCACTTTCTGCATGTATCTGTGGACTTGTAGGTGCAGCTCCAGCTTTGTTATCTTTTGTTATCTGTCCTGGGCTGGATATCCATATAATCAAATTTGTCTAAATTGTGTCTAAGAGTAAATGAGTTCTGAATAAGCAAGGTGTGTGAACCGTGGACTGTTTTTACTTTTCAGATACTTTTCCTCCCTTCTTCATAAACTTTTGGGATTTTAATAATTTTCCACATCATTGAAATTGACAGATATGTGACATTTGACTCTTCACAAACAAAGTATCACAAACATAAAACTCCCTGAATTTCTCTCTAAAGTTTTATTAGACAAATATGGAAATGATTTATAGGAAACTATCATTTTTAGTGATAATTATGTAAATGTTACCTTGAAAGATTCAATCTGAAATACAAAGTCAAGACAGCTCCTGAATTTTTGTTTGTCCTTTTTCAGGGCTCATCTTCCTCTCATGCCCAGTGCCCCGTAGGGAGGCATAAATCAACAGAAGACATTGAGAGTTGGGAAACTGGTCTTAAGAGTTGTATAGGGAGGAAGTTTCTTCTCCCCCACCGTATATGGGTTCCAGGTGCCCCACTTTATTTTTGGTTCTAGTTTTAGGTATTTGAAAATTAATGATAAACAATATAGATTTCACTGGAAAGGAGACTGGTACAATGTTTTAATTCCTGCCACTCCCAGGTTTACCTCTTCCTTTCCCACCAACAAAAGGCTTGAAGTTCCTCAAGTTTTGCAGATGTAATATGCAACTTGAACTGTTTACATGTGACTCTTCTCATGAGAAGAGATTGATTACAAAATGCCTAATCCCTGTTTGAGGGATTGAGTTGGCAAGAGTTTGAGAGAAGAGAGATCTTGATCTTTTAACTTTGGAAGAAAATACTCTTTTCATGTCCCTGAAGTGAGAGAAAAACTCTGGGAAGAAGACCACACATGGAAGAAGTGGCACCTTAGTCATGGACCTATTCTCAGCTTACTACCCTAGTGACTTTGGAGACTTCTCCCTATTCTCCTGTATATAATTTCTTTAATTTCTGTTTGCTCCTGTCTTGGATTAATGGATTTATTTGCTGTTTTCTATGTGTATTCATTAAAGAACTGGCATTTGGTTGGAAGGGAGTCAAGCCTTTGATGTATAGCTTAGCATACTCCTTCCTTGTTATGTGATAGTAAACAGATCCTCAGCTTAAACCTAAAAATGAATTCCCCTAGATTAGCAATATTTTTAGGGGAAGATAGATATAGTTCTAGCTCAGTATCCTTCCCCTCTCTGCTGAGAGAAGAGTATCCAGTCTCTGACCTTAATCTCCTCCTCTGACAGAAGTCAAAGGCTTCATTAGAGAAGGGGAAGGAGAAGACTTTAGAGATATCATTCATGCTTCCATGTGAGATACATCTAGATAAGCCCATGTGTACATACATAATTTACATAGGCAAAACACAGCACCACACACTCTTCTACGGAGAGCAGCCCTCTATATAATTAAATGCTAAGGTAGCCAGTCCCCAGTTCATAGATGGATGATGTTCCAAAATGCAATTGCTAGTTAGGAGTTTGGAATATAACACGTATTCCCATAGAGATTAACATGAATAATATTTATACTCAGGCTAGCAAATAAATGTCTATTCAATTCACATTGTAGCTATGTGCCATAGTAGTACCATATGGTACTAAAGAAACCCTTCTCATCATGTACAGCATTTCCTATATGGTTCTAACTTGAGATGCAAGGAATATTTCTCCTGCTGTCCCATTAGACTGTAAGCTTCTTGATATCAGGAACTATCTTTTGCCTTTATGTGTGTCCTGAGTGCTTAGCAGTGCCTAGCATATAGTAGGCACTTAAATGTTTGTTGATTAACTGACTTACCCTGCTTCAAAGGTCAACCCTTATTGTGACCAGGCATTTTATAATTTATTTTTATTTTTAAGTGAGAATCTTAAGAAATAAGACATTTCTTGGTATTCAATTTTGTGGAAGGCTATCCTATTGTGTTGCTTGTCATGGGATTTGATTAGAGAAAGAGCAGTGGACTTGGAGGGAAATCTGGATTTGAACCACAGGGTTGATACTCACTGCATTGAAGAACCTGAACAATTCATATAACTTCTTTGAGCCTTGATTTTCTGATGTGTAAAATGAAAAGTTGGGACTAGATGATATCTAAATTTCCTTCTAGGTTATATCCTATGATATTGTCCTTCCAGGATATAGATATATTCTATTTTTTTTCCCAGCTGTTACTGGGAAAATATGTAATGGCTGAATCATTGAGATAAATAATGTTATTTTCTTTGATGCCTTAACAAGGAATTTATTTTCATATCATGTAGGTTTTTTTTTTTTAGCATTTCATATGCTTACCAAATACTGTTTGGGAGTATGTTGCTTATTACAGGAGCCATCAGGACATAGTGAATAGAGAGCTTGTCTGAGAGTCAGGACGAACTGGGTTCAAGTTCCATTTGACTGTGGGCAAAACTCTTAACCTCTCGTAGGCACCCAAATCTCTTAAGACTTCAAACTGCAGAGAGTATTGATTTGCATTAGTTGGGAGAGGTCCTTATGTTAATGAAATCATAGCTACACTACCCTGTTGCTTATTTTACAAATATGTTGGTGGTGGCCAAGACAGGGCTTTCATGCCTTTCATATCTGTGTACCTGGGCTCTTAAAGCATATCCCACATATTCCCAAAAGTCGCAAAAAGGTAAGATCTGGACTAATAGATGTGTACAGGAATACCTAGCACATGATCAGCCTTAAATGACACAGAACTGAGAGTCAACTGAACCTTTTCTCTCTTTTGATGGCCCAATGTATGTAATAGATGTCAGAAAAGCAGCAAGAGATTCTTTGTGCAAGCTATAAATATCCTGTATTAACAGATGTAATTTCTTTTGCGTCATATAATGGGAACAAAGTCATGCTGCAGACGTAACTTAACAAAAGTAAAATCCAACCACTGAGGACTTATTTCCACACTGTGAAAGGCATTGCAGAGACAATATGTGTAATGGCTAGAGTTCTGGAGTTACGAAAATATACTTTCCAATCTTAGCTCTGACACTTTTCAATTATGTGACTCTGAGCAACTCATCTCATCACTAAGTGCCTAAGGCAATTACCTGGAACTTATTTCCCAAGATGTAGATAGGTTATGATTTATGTTAATGAAGAAGAATTCCCCACACTGAAACAGGTCCTCTCATATTCATATCCATACCATACCAATTAAAATATTTCTTGTCCATACAGTTAGCCCAGTTAGTTAAAGGTATATGACAAAAATCCCTCACTTTAAAAGAAGGCAAAATGTGTGACATTTTGTAAAAAGAAAAATAAAACGAAAGTAATTAGGGTGAATTCCTGGTGGTTGGCTTTTAGAATATGGTAAGAGACCTGTTTTTACTTAAACTTTTCTGATTTGCGGGGGAAATCTGGGCCAATCAACAAATGGAATATGATATATCCTTCCCTTACCATGTATTTCAGGTATGAGTTCTTCCTTCAATATGAATCGTGCCATTCTTTGGCTTGGTGGTTCAGGAGGTCTTCCAACAAATGAAACCACGTTTGCCAAGATGCTTCAACAACGTGGTTATAGGACTGGATTGATAGGTACAGCGTGGGATTGCCAGTTTTAAATGAATACAAGTTAAATTTCCACTGCAATTTAGCATTCCTATAGCACATCTCAGAATTGTGTCAACTAATATATCATGGAGATGAGGAAACGAGTAGAAATAGGGCAGTGTAAGTGATGATAAAAGTCATATCTGAACTAATGAAATAGAACATGGTGGTAAGTTTAAAGATATTATCAATGACATCTTCCATGTAGTAAAACCTGGAAGATATATTTGACAATCCCTCTTGCAACTTAGAAATTCAGTCCCTGCCAAAATAACATAATTGGGGGAGGGGGAAGATCGATGCAACATGTATAGATGAATAACAAAAAGGTAATTACATAGGCATAGCAAAGGTGTGCTGGTAAATGTTTAACAACCAGCTCTCTAAGAAAATCTAAGTATGATACATATTTAAGTTTAATATTCATTATGATGTTTTATCTATCACTTTCTTAAGTCTAGAGACTGTCAACGAAACAATAATTCAAGCCTTGATTTATAGCATTTGCTAATTTCTAAGGTGTGACTGCTCACACTGAAAATTTAACAACTTCTCTTGGTGGCATGAGCTAGATATAGATGAAGTTAATACTTAAAAAAAAATTTGAGAGAGGAACATTCTTGGGAGGTTCACCACAAAAATTCTACATCTATAAACCAATTTAGTTTCTGTTTGTTTTTACCTTTAAAGGTCCAGAAGATGGCGAGGAAGCAAAGGACTCTTAAGCCCTTCTGGTGTTGAAGTTGAGGCCACTGGTAGTATTCCCAAGGTGTCCTTGCTGGAATTTGGAGAGGCTAGCACTTCATGTATTATATCATTGTAGACAGAGAGCTAGCCTTGTAGCCCCTGGTTTTACATATGATAGATAGAAGCTGTATAAGTCATTTGGGTAAATTACTTAATCTCTCAATGGCCCAGGAACCTCTATAAGATATTAAATTATAAATATATGGCTAGTCTACATCACTAGAGGGACTTCAACATTTGTAATTCACTACAAAAATGAAATTAAAAATCTAGACTCCATTCTACTAACCATGCCCCCATCCTCAAATATTTGATGATGTCAAAAAGAAGAAATAGCAATGAAAGTGATAAATAGTTTGAGTCTTGATTATGACACTTTGTAGCTATGTGACTATGAGCAAGTCACTTCTAGTATGACAGAAAAACATTGTTCTTAGAGTCAGGAGACCTGATCTTGTGTTCCACCTCTGACACTTACTGGCTTTATGATTTTACCTAACATTTCTGAACTTCAATTGCCTCAATTTTATTTTATAAATTAGGAACCACTAGTAATGCTTTCATTTAAACTCGCATGACAGTCTTTATGAATAAAATGCTTCATAAAGTATAAACTGTGATTTTTTTGTGAATTTCTATTCCAAACTATATTTGACAAAAGAAACATAATAGTTTCCTTTTATAACTGATTGTTCCTATTTTTTCCAGGAAAATGGCATCAAGGTTTAAGTTGTGCCTCCCGAAATGACCACTGTTATCATCCACTAAACCATGGGTTTGATTACTTTTTTGGAATGCCTTTTACTCTCCTGAATGAATGTCAAGCAACAAAAACACCGGAGATACACAGAGCTCTCAGAATCAAGCTCTGGATTTCCAGTGTGGCTCTTGGCCTTGTGCCCCTCTTACTTCTCATTCCCAGATTTGCTGGATGGTTCAAAGTCCCATGGACTGTTGTTATCATCACTGCTCTTGTGGCCTTCTTGTTTTTCACCACTTGGTATTCTAGTTATGGATTCATTCGTCGTTGGAATTGCATCCTTATGAGAAATCATGAGATTATTCAACAACCTATGAAAGAAGAAAAAGTGACTTCTCTGATTTTGAAAGAGGCTCTTTCATTTATTGAAAAGTAATGAACATTTTCAATTTTCTTATCCTTTATAATTTAAAAATAAATATCTGTTTCAGAGCATGCCAGTCTCTCTGGTTAGAAAAAATTTTTCTGATATATTTGTGTCACATTTGACATTCCTTTGAGGCTGTACAAAGACAAAAAAAAAATGATATTTTACTAGAAGGCAGCATAGTGCAGTGGAAAGGGCCCTACCTGTGAAGTTAAAGAACTTGGGTTCAAATCCCAACTTGGACACTTAAAATCTGGCTTTAGACAAGTTATGTCTCTAGTTATGAGGGATGTGGACTTGATATCATCTAAGGAAACTTCCAGATCTGTGATCTAAGGAAACAAGTATACCGGCCATATCTGAAACGTGTGTTTCATTCTGTGTTTTTTGTCAGTCATCATTTCAGCATCATTTCCTCTGAAGTAATGATTAGTGACTGCATCAAAGTCATCAAGTCTTTCAAGTTGGTTTTATTCATATTATTGTGCTCATCGTGTAAATTTTTCTCTTGTTCATATTTATATTGATCTAAATCAATTCATATGTCTTCTCAAGTTTTTCTGATTTCTTCACATTGAAAATTTCTTATGGCACAATGATATTTCTTTGTTCAACAATTAACATTAATGATACAAATGCACCACAATTTTTTGAGCCATTTTTCTATCAGAAGAACCAACTGCCAGCTTTTCATTATTGCAAAAAAAGTTCTGATATGTGTGTGTGTGTATATATACGTGAACTTTTCCTGAGTATTTGACTCCTTTCAGATATAAAAATGGCAAATGTATTGATGGACCAAAGAATAATGACTTTTAAAATATAATTTTCAAATTTTCTTCCAGATGAGGACAGTCCTCAGGTATTCTCACTTAAGTCTTCAGGGCTTTTTCCACTGCAGTATTTGAAGAGTTACTATTTAGAAAAATGGTTAGATACATTATACTTTCCCCAGATGTCATAATTAGGATTGATGGATGAAAGTTACAAGGAAGCATATTTTGGCTCAATCTAAGATGGGAAGTCCTAAAAGCTAGGTTTTATTAAAGTTTATAAGATCTAATTAAATATTTCTCTATCATTGAAGGTATTTAAGTGCATTCAGATTACGATTTTTTAAAATGAATACTATAGAGGTGATTGATATTTCATATAGGAGTTTGGACAATATCACCTGATAGTTCCTTCCTAACTCTAGGATTCCATGATCTAGGATAGAGTCAGTCATGCTAAGTTTTCAAAGGGAAAATAAGCTAATGCAATCATAGTAGTAGTTGGCACTTCTTTAGTGCTTTCAACACCTAATCTCATTTTAGCCTTCCAACAACAATGCTCTGAGGTAGGTACTATAATTGTTTTTATCCTCACTTTGCAGATGAAAAAAATAAGACTAAGTTAAATTACTTGCCTTTAGTCACACAAAATGCTAACTGTTAAAGGCAGGTCTTATTGACTCCAAATTGAATGGTTGGTTGAAATACCATGATATTTCTCAAGAAAAAGATTGTTTATTTCTAGCACCATATTATAAGGACATTGACAAACCAGTGAATCATAAAAGGTAGAGTTAAGACTCTTTCTAGTATGAATTTTTTTTACATTTCTCTTTAAGACAAATGTCCTTGCTATATTTATTTTAAAAATGTATCCTCTATTTCAGTCAGCCTTCACTAAAACTTTCAAAGACTGTTTTATGGTTTCACATTTCACTGTAGCTTCTTTAAATGCCAAATCTGCTTTTCCAGGGAGTGAGATGAATTTAATATTTTTTATTTCTTAGGTACAAACATGGGCCCTTTCTTCTCTTTGTGTCCTTTCTTCATGTGCACATTCCACTTGTAACTAAAGAGAAGTTTGTGGGGCGCAGTAAATATGGACTATATGGGGACAATGTAGAAGAAATGGATTGGATGGTAGGTAAGTATCACTTTAGGAAATAGTGATTAAGTTCATTCTATATGTTAGGTGACTCATAATCCCATTAAAATGGTTATTCCCTCCAGGCAGACAGATCATATCCCATCCATGCCTGTTCCCCAGGTCTTCCCCTAAGTGACACAAGGCAACATTCTTCCTCAAATTCTCCTAACATTGTGGAGATACCAGGGGAACACCACTCAGCCTTTTAACAAGTGATCTTTAGGGAAGAATAATTCAATTTAAAAAATGTTGATGATGAATCTACATGAATCAGTACAACATTTTATACATGTGATAGTATTTCGGTTCTAGGCTCACCACCATCTCAGACAGTATTTATACTCAGACAAGTTTTTTAAGCTTTTGAGAGAGCACCAATTGTTAAATTTTCAATTATTTTTTAAAAAAAAATTTGGTGAGGCAATTGGGGTTAAATGGCTTGCCTACGGTCACATAGTTAGTGTCAAGTGCCTGAGGCCAGATTTGAACTCAGGTCCTCCTGACTCCAAGGCCAGTGCTCTATCCACTGTGCCACTTGGCTGCCCCACAATTGCTAAATTTTCAGTGTGAGCATTTACACCTCAAAAAACTGTCAAACCTCAAAATATAGAGCTTCATTTATTGTTTTATTGATTTTCTAGACTTAAGAAAGAGATGGAGAAAATGTTAATAATGCACATTAAAGGAAAAAGTGTGTGGTGCTTATGCATTTTTTGGACAGTTGGTCATTAACTATTTACCAGCACACCACTGTGTATATATAGTATGTACATATACACATGCACACTCTCTTCATATATATATATATATATACATATATATATATATGCACATAACATATATATATGCATAAGTATATGCATGTTTATATATGTATATGCATATATCTACATTTATGTATTTGGGGAGAGAGAGAAAGAGAGACAGAAACAAAGAGAGACAAAGAGAGAAACTGAAAGAGAGGGAGAGAGAGGGGGGAGAGAGAAGGGGAAGAGAGAGAGAGAAAAAAAAGATAGGGAGAGAGAGAGAGATGAAGTGAAATAATGAAATGACTCTTCTAAGGAGACACAATAAGTAGCAGAGATAGAAATTTTAGTATCTTTTCAAACATCTTTCATTGGTAATATCTAGTCATTTAATGATGGCATTTAAAGTTGCCAGGCATCCTTGATATCATCTTCATCTTCTCCAATGCTCTCACTTTACAGAAAAGGAAACTAAGACTCAAAGAAGGAACATGACTTTGTTTTTACTCCTCTATCATTCTGCTTGTTCCATATTACTAGTTATTAGTTTGTATTTTAAAGTTTATAAAGTACTTAAATGAATTATTTCTTTCATCTGAAATCAGTGAACATTTTGACAAGGTGTGAGAGTATTGGTATCAGTTTTGTGACTTCATAGTTCAAAGTTGTTGTTATGCTTAACTAAAAAAAATTCTACTCATATTTTTGTTGTTTTTTTTCCAAAAAGAAGTTTTAGACTAGTTAATTGTAGCAAAATTAAAGAACACATGTAAATGGTGCGTTTAGAAAGAAAAAAGAAGCATCTAAGTACAATTTTGTACTCTTTTCAATTAACAAGAACAGTTTATTTCAATCTCTGAGAGTGATAATAACACCAGAATGGTAACTAACACAACTTTTCTCAATTTAGAGTCCAAAGTCAGACGTCCCATATCTTCTATGGTTCTACACGGTATATAGAGAATTTCTTTCTTTTTTTTTTTCTGTAGTCAGCAGTTTTACCTCCCTTAGCAAGGGCATGCTTGCTATCCAGCTTCCCCAGCTAATCAGGAAAAAGTCCTTACTTTCTTTTTTCAACTTTCCATATATAAGGAATTATATATGGCAGAAGAAGAAGAGAGAAAGGAACAGGTTAAACACATTGGCACTAGCTTATGTAATACCCTGTGATCTCTATTCTCAATTGGTTTATCATCTACCTTATTAACTTATGTTTTCTCCTTCCTGATTAATATTCCACGTTGCTAGGTATGTTGATACTGTGGTAAAGTGGAAGTTTACTGGGTTTGGACTCAGAGGACTACAGTTTCAATCTTCCTGTTTACTACTTGTGTGATCTTGACAAAGTTATTAAATTTTTCTTGGTTATTGATTTATCAATTTAGAGCTGGAAGGGACCTTTAAAGCCACCTTGTTCTTACCTGTAAAATAAGGGTGTTAGATTAGATAGCCCCTAAGACTCTTATTGTCCATTGCTTTTTAAAAAATACATTTTGTTGCCATTTAAAATTGTCTCCATTTTTATAGTTGAAGTTATGTTGGCAACTCTCTAAGACTTGCAGAGCAAATACAGATTTGCATTTGTTGAGGAAGTTCACTGAAATTTCCATACCATATGACATCACAGGTTTGTTCCAAATTAAAAAAAAAAAGATCACCATGTACATTGTTCTTTTGTCTCTAGTTACTCCATTCTGTATCCTTTTATACCAGTATCCCATATTTATTAATAGGAAATTTAACAAGACTTTGAAATAAACATGTTATTTCAGCTCATCTCTTTATATTGTTAGAGATAAATCATTCATTTCTCTTCAGCAATGGAAACTCATTTTAATGTTTTCTGTTATCTGACTAGCATCTGACCAGTCAGTTAGTTGGAAGAGATGTGTATGTTTATGTTGGCACCTTACCAAATGCTTTATTTCTTTCTTTTTATGCCTTGTTGGAGGCTGACAACACTTCAACACATTTTTACTGCTGAGCCTAGCAAGTTATTAATTACCATCAGACTATCACACAGAGAGAGAGTAAGGATAACCTACAATTCATACGGCAGGCTCAAGGCAGCACTGTACTTAACACATTATCTGGAATGTAGCAAGCACTCATAAATGTTAACTTGATGACCTTTGAGTGTCCTAATTGTGTAAATGTAGGGATTTTGCTCTCCTTGGAGTGAACTTAGGAATTACTTCAGTTTCAAATTCTGCTGAGTTTTTTTTTATTAAACAAGGTATATTTAAAGTATTTTGTGCTTCTTTCTATTAATATGTATACCTGCTTAATCTATATTATAGTTTTTTAAATGAAATTAAGTTGTTTTGTTAGAAAAAAGGGATAATAATTCATTTTGTCTTGATTCATCTATCTTTATCATAGGCAAAATTCTTGATGTTATCGACAAGGAATATTTGAGAAATAACACACTTGTATATTTTACTTCTGACCATGGAGGTCGTTTGGAGTCTCAGGAAGGAAAATCCCAGCTTGGTGGTTGGAATGGAATGTACAAAGGTGGTAATTATATTGTATTGAAATGCTTCCTTTTGAAAATTGAGATTCTCAATGTCTTTAACATTAACATTTAAACATTTAATATTTTAAACATTAGCACCCAAAAGTGTTGCTTATTTTATCAGAAAGGTTTAAAATGAGAAAGTATAAAGGAAAAATATTTGATATAGAAAACATATCTATAGAAATATGAATACATACGTATATGAAATATTCTCAAAGTTTTCTAGTCCTAAGAGTAACTGGAAGCATAACTCATGAAAATATGCAAAAAACCCTCTCTTTTCTCAATTCTAAATAGATAAACTTAAATTGAAATGCAGCATGGCATAGCTGCTAAATGGCTGGCCTTAGAGTCAGGAACATCTGGTTCAAGTACTTGACCGTGGGTCAGTCACTTAAAATCATAAGGCTATAGGTAATTTTTAAAGTTAGAGATCAATTGCTGATCTGCATTGGTAGAGGGGGTTTCATAGCATCAACTCCCACAATGATAAAATTGCAAATCTGGATTTTTTTTTCTTTAAGGATTTCATAAGCAGGTAGCTGTGTAAAATGTAACTACAAAGTAACATGGCTTTTTTTTAGGCAAACATATAATCATTTATTTAGTCATATTACAGCAGTACCTACAAAAGTCCTAATCTTGGGATTGCTTTAAGGACCAACTGCACATTGTTTTATGATATTCTAGTAATAAAAAAAAGACAATTTAAAGCTAATATCAATGATGAAGATGGATAATGAATCATATCATTTTGGGTAAAAAAAAAAGGTAGAACTAAAAACTAATAAAACACTCTCATGTGTGACTCATCAGGTGGTTGCAACCATAACTCCTGCCAAAAAGAACTTAAATCATTTTCTGCACATGGTAGAATGAATAAGATGAGGATATGGCCTTTTTAGTCTCCAAGTAGGAAGTATTTATTTGGATTTAACAATTGTTTTATTATTATTTGAAAATTCAATCCTATTACTTTAGTTTGTCTCTCAAACAGTTCTTAGAAATACACACACACACACACATGCATATATATGACATATTATTAAATAATGATCCAGAGGAGCCACTTGTCCTGGAATATTTAGAGTAAGGAGACTTTTGGTGTTCGTGTGTGTGTGTGTGTGTGTGTGTGTGTGTGTGTGTGTGTGTATACACACACGTATGTACACATATGTGTATATGTACATGCATATATGTACCCACATATATGCATGTACATATACACATATATATGTATTCTCCTTCTTTCCCACTCCTTCCCTTTTCTATCTCCATATATACACATCAATATCCACAAAAAAGACTCATATATATGTACACATATATACACACACACGTATACACATACACATACATGCATGTGTAACATACACATATACATGATGTGCATTCAATATACACATACATATGCATATATATATATATACATACACATACACGTGACTAAGGTAGTACAGTGATTTGTATAAATGTGCATTCATCCAAATAGCTACTCTAAGGGTCTTCTAATTTTTGAAAACTATCTGCAAGACTGGAGGCTTTTCTGTCTATGCTATTTAATACTTTTATTCTATTTATTAATTACTTTGTATAGTTATGTATACACCTTTGCTTTCCAATTAGATTTTGAGCTCCTTTTAGTAAAACCACTTCTAACACTATTTTCACACAATAGGTTTTCAATAAATCATCATTAATTATTGATCATAATTATTTTATCTATATAATCTAAACCTTTGATACAATTTATTTAGGAGTTTCTTAGTGAGAATTTGTTTTGATCCAAATTTGTTTCTAACATTCGGCGTGAGAGCAACCTGTGTGTTCTGCAAGCATGATTTTCTAATTCATAAAACAAATTTTTTTGGAACATTGTTTTTATAATGTTGGTCCCATCGTAAACAGTTCCCTGTTGGCTATGGAAGCTAAATTATGTAGCCTACAAAAGAACCTGTTTTATAGACTTATTGCCTATTACTCTCCTATGTGAATTCTTGGATCCAGTTAAAATTATCTACTACTTATCCTCCGAGCATGGTTTGTGATATCTTGTTTCTATTTTTTGGCTTTTTCCATCATTCACCTCTTTCTCAAAAATCTGAATGCCTTTCCTCATTCTCTCTACCTCATAAAGTACTATAGATCTTTTTCCTCCATCAGGATGTCCCAGAATACTTTAGTCCACATGAATCTCTGAATTTATAATAATTTTCTAAATCACTCATTTGCTAATCTGAGTATAATCCTATGGCAACTTTAGTAGGCTCTTTGTGCTATTCATTAAAAACCTTGAGGTTTTAAATTTCCAGGTGCAAATGCCTCACTTTGCCAATTAGATGATGAGGTTCTTAGGATAATATATCTTATATTTCTTTGTAGTCTCCACACTTCCTAGGAAAATGCTAGGACAGAGTATATTATCTAGAAATTATTTGATTTTTGCTTTAATAAATATATGTACATAAGATCATGCCTAATTATTTGTACTACTTGTTATGAACTTTAGGAGGCAAAGGAATGGGAGGCTGGGAAGGGGGAATTCGGGTGCCAGGAATATTTCGATGGCCAATGATCCTTCCAGCTGGTGGAGTGATTAATGACCCTACAAGTCTCATGGATATTTATCCAACATTGTCTTATGTGGCTGGAGCAATATTGCCACTAGACAGGTACAAAAATTTATGATAATTTACTATTTAAATGTATTTCCTGCTTAAATAATATTTGAGGCCATATCTATAAAATGTGAAGATGCATATGTGTAAATATTTGTGTGTGTTCATGCATCCACACATAGGTAATAGAAAATGAAATAGATATTGAATGTGACTTTTTATTTTACACTTTCACAGGGTCTGTGCTGTACAGATATAAGATCTAAAAATGTTGGCCTCTTGTTATACCCTTGTTTTAATTCCATGCCAAAGCTAAGTCTATATACTTATGTTTGAGTAAAGTAAGACAGATTTGGTCGTTCCAAATACTGGACTCATGAAAATAGCTTTGGTAATGGTAAGAGTATTATTTCCAAATTTGCACTGCTTTCAAGGCTCAAAATATATTGACTTTCAGGTAACCTGGATTACTTCCAGGTTGTCCAAATTCTATGGTCAAGATTGTGCCAATAGAAATTCAATCATATATCACATTCAAAAGAGAAATACAGTATACTTCATGTCCAATTCAAATTATGAAATAAATTTTGGGGGGCAAAGAATGATGAGATTTGGATAGAAAATTCTAATTCTTATCAGCAGCTGACAATTTGTATGCTCTTTTAACATATTTACTCCAATGCTGAGTTTCCCATCCTTAAAGCTGAGGTCTGACGACCACTTGCCAGGAATGTTGTAAAAGACATTCGTGTTTCTGGTGTGGATTGGACTCGTCCTCCAAGGGCACTTAAAATTCAGAGAGTACATACCTTGCTTGGAGATATTAAAAGACATTAGCTATATAATAATGATTTTATTAATACATTTAAGGTGAGAAAATCATGATCCTTCTTTAACATTTTTGCGACGATGGACTACGTTAGATCATTGAATTTACTGTGCATCATCTAGGATATTCTTCATTTTCATTCTCTTCTTTTTTTTTTTTCAATTTCAGAGTGATTGATGGCAAGAACCTGATGCCTTTACTACAAGGTAGAGTTTTTCAGTCAGGACATGAATTCCTTTTCCATTACTGTGGAATATACTTACACACAGTACGGTGGCATCAAAAAGACTGTGAGTATTGAGATATACCTGAATATGTCTAAGATTAATTTTACTGTGATATTTTCTAGATTGCTCAACAATCATATCAAAATAGCACAAATTAAGGATTTTTTTTCTACTTGAGACCAGACAATGTGACGCATAGGGGGAAAAACATAACTACAAGATTTGGTTCTTTTAGTTAAATATATTCAGGCAAGCATTTTAGTTTCAAAACACTTATACACAGTTGGACTAATAGTGATGGTGGTTTGTGCATGACGTGCAAAAGAAGTGTCAACGTATAAGTCAAACTGGAATAACTGATAAAAAAAACTTAGTTTCTTTGAATTTCTTAGTGTGCTATTCCCTGTTGCCTTCTTTTAAAAACTTTGTAGTGTTTAATCCCTCCTGTCCATTTTTACTCATTAGGATTCACATAAAAATAAAACTCAATCAAAGGAACAGTTGGTCCTTGTCCTAGTAGACTGTGACAGGTAAAATCTGAAATAACTGAAGCAACAAATGTTTGAACTTTTGAGCATACTGATTTATCAAGCAAAGCATGCTGATTGCATAACAAATCAGGACCAATCTTCAGCTTGGCACTGTACCCCAAACACAGGGGGAGGCATTTTCACGCATTAAAAGAAAGCAATGAACAACATATAAACCACTATACAAGATTAGGTGTTTTCATTTCTGATTGGAGAAAAGATGATGGATTTTCCAAGTTGGGGGTGGGGTCAAATTGGGAGATGGTGATTGGGTTTAGGGGTCTTTCTTTTCCCATAAGTGGGAAATGCTGATTAATTGCATCCACCTGCATGTAATGAATAATGCATGTGGCAGCACATGATGGAATCAGTGTTAATCTGATTGGTTCTCTTGATTTTCACACTAAACTAATTCCAAGCTGTCTCTCTGTTTCTTCAAAAGAAATCCCATTCAGGGTCTTTGGAGGTATGGAGAAATATAAATATACTCTGTTCTCCAATTTGGATTTTTTATCTAACAGAATATTACATGATTTGCTCTCACACAGTTTATTATAGTGTGTGGTATCCATCTCATCAGTGTAGAAAGGGTCTCTCAAAGCAGAAAAGCCTGTCTGCATCAATAAAATTTCTCTGCTGTGGAGAGGAAGGTGCTCAGAAAACATTCTCCATATAAGGGCAGAAATATTTTATGTCTGTATTCAATGAAGGTGAATTTCCCTTTTCTGTTGTTTTACTTTTATTAACCAGAAGGGGGCATATATTTCAAGAGTGGAATGGGTTTCTTTTGTTATTATCTTGACTCAAATAGTCCTAGGATCTCATTAGGAAAGATGAGACTTGGTAGTGGAATCTTATACCAATTAAATAGGATAAATAATTGGATTCTAGATTCTCATTAGGTCCCCTTGGTGATTGTTATTATTTGGGCAATTGTCAATCCATTACACTTTGGCCATTGTAGATGAATCTCATAAAGATTATAGCTGTCCTCACTGAAATTTCCCCAATGTAAGCTATTTCCTCTTTGAATGTCCTTCCAGAAAGAGTAGGTGGAGATGATTGTACCTTCAATCATCCTTTCTGTACCTAGCATTGCTTGAGAGCTATTTCTTAATTGGCACATCCTTGAAAAACTTCATGATGCAGCTGCAATATTTTTTACCTCACAATCACCCAGGAATGACAATCACCAGTCAGTTCACATGAAAAAGAAAAGAACTGTGAATAACCTTTCCATATTATATTTGAAAAGAAAGGAACTGTGAATAACCTTTCCATATCTTATTTATATCCCCTTCAAATATGACAGTTTGGAAAGTGATTTTATAAAAGGAACAAGAAATAATATTTATTAACACATAACATTTCTTGCTTTTCTTGACTGAGTTAAAACTAGTTCTTAATAAAATCTTTTAATTTCTGTGAATATGGAATACAAATTAGGAAGCATTGTCCCCAAGCCTGTGTACCTTGACAGATACAGTGAGTCCTAATGATCATGTGTTGTATAACTAGGGTTCACTAGTAAATTTTTTTGTTCCTTAGCTGCTTTGAGATTTTATTGCTGGTATACTTATTTTTTGTTTTTACTAAATTCTTACTGATGACTTTTGTTTTCACAGTGCTTAAATTTCCTTGAATCCTTTCGTCTTTCTATTTTTCATCCCTTTTCACAATGATTAAAAAAAAAAAAGAAAAAAGAGGAAAAGGAAAGAAAATAAGCATAACTGATCATTTTAAATTATGTTCAGTGTTCCAAAGCTATGCAATCCCCACCTCACCTGCTACCCCTGACTCTGCAAAGGAGTAGCAGGAGCTTTCTCCTCGTATGTCTTCCTGGGAGACAAGCTTATTTTCTGTAATTTTGCAACATTCATTTTGCTTGGTTTGTGACGGTTGTTCTTTCCATTCACTTTGTTGAGATCATTGTCTATTGTTTTCTTGGCTCTGCTTACTTCACTTTGTGTCAGTACATGTAAGTCTTTCTGTACTTTGCTCTATTCTTCATATTTGTCACTTGTTACAACATGGTCATATTCCATTCTATCCATGCACCACAGTTTGTTTGGCATTTACCAGTTGAGGGATGACTCCTACTCCTACTCCTACTCTGACTACTGGCAATGAAAATAAACAACTAGCATTTACATAGCGCTCTGAGGTTTGCAGGTTTGTTTTGTTCAGTTGATTTCAGTTTTGTCTGACTCTTTGTTACCCCATTTGGGGTTTTCTTGGCAAGGATACTGGAGCGGTTTGCTATTTCCTTCTCCAACTCATTTTACATATGAGGAAACTGATGTGAAAAGGGATAAGTGGTTTGGGTCACACAGCTGGTAAATGTTGGAGGTCAGATTTGAAATCAGGTCTTCATGACTCAAGGCTTGATGCTTTATACACTGTGCCACCTAACTGACCTATAAAGTTTGCAAAATGATTTATAAATATGAACTTTTATCTTCACAACAACTCTGGGATTTTTAGTGCTATTTTTATCCCCATTTTACAGATGAGAAAACTGAGGCACAGGTTAATTTATTTGCTTGGAATTGCACAGTCTGAGCCTAGATGTGAACCTAAGTTTTCCTGTCTCCAGGTCCATAACACTATTGATTGTGCCACATAATTATTTGGTTCTTAGTTTTTTGTGCCATGAAAAGTACTGCTATGTGTGTGTTGGTATATATGAAACCATTCTTTTGGCCAATGATCTCCTTGGGGGTATATGTCTAGCACTCAAATCTCTGATTGAAAAGATATGGACATTTTAGCGACTTTATTTGCATAGTTCTAAATTGCTTTCCAAAATGGTTTACTAATTCACAGATCCACTAACAATTAATTAAATAATAAAATTAATACTAGAGGATTTCAAAGGTCCCCTCTAACCCTAAACCCTATGATTCTTAATGAATTTGCTCATATGGCATCAAGAACTTCACTAGATTTGCAAAAATATTTAGTTTTACTAATCCTTCCTGGACAGTGTCAAAAGGGCTTTAAAACTCCTCCAACATTGAGTCCTTCCATCTAACACCATCTCTGCTAATTTTCTGGAGTGTCATATAAAATCTTAGTGTTGTTTTGACTATTATTAGTGATTTGGAGAATTCTACTAGTTGCTATGCATCTAATATATTTTGAAGTTTCTTTTTCAGTTTACTGAGGTGAGGAACTGAGAAAAATAGTTTTAAATGATAATGCCTGAGGAAAATAACTTTGATTTGAGAAAATTTTGGAATATTGTAGTTAGTTTATATTTATTCCTATGTTTTAATAATTGAATTGCCTTTTTCCAGGTGATACAGTGTGGAAGGCTCATTATGTGACTCCAAAATTTCAGCCAGAGGAAGGCAGAGCCTGCTATTGGAGTGGTCTTTGTCCATGTTCAGGGGATGTCAACTACCATGACCCTCCTTTGCTGTTTGATATTTCAAGGGACCCTTCTGAAGAGCATCTTCTTACTCCTGAAAATGAAGGGCTTTTTGACGCAGTGATAAAGAAAATGGAAGAGGCGGTGAAAGAGCACCGGAGAACATTGATGCCCGTCCCACAGCAGTTCTCTGTATTCAACACCATCTGGAAACCATGGCTCCAACCTTGCTGTGGGACTTTCCCATTTTGTGGTTGTGATAAGGAAGATGACACTCTACCTACTGGCCTATGAGGAAACCAAGCTGCTGGTTACTAGGATCTGCTTTACATATTATTTGAAAGTTAAAATAAGCATATATGAAACAAATTAACAGCTTATTTTCGTTTGGAATCTGAAAGAATGGCTTTAGGAGCCTTTTCCTTTGTCTATTATTTTTCTTTTTTTTTTCTCCAAGGAGTTCAATAAATCAATTTTTTTCAGTATAGTAAACCCAATTTAAAACATTTTGTTAAGTTCTAACTTTAAAATGTCAACAAAGCATTACATATCAGGACTTGGTTCAAGATGACACTTTGAGAAATCTTTTAATTCTATCAACATTGCTTATACTTGTAATATCTCAATTTTAAAGTTTAAAAGTATTTTCTCTAGCAACTTTTGCTTGCAATTTACAACATGTTTAGTTTTACATGATCTGCTCAATTTAGTAGCAAATAATAATTAGGATTCAATTTCCATTTGAAACTCAAGATATTTACCAGTCCAGTGACTGACATGAAGGAAAGGCAGGGAGTGGCACTCGTATTCTTTGGAAGTCAAAATTCTGCTATTCTAGTCTCAGCACATGAAAACCACTCCAGACTATTCCACCAGATTCCTGTGCATCTGTTTACCTGTTTTCATGGTTTTATCACCTTTCTCCCTTCTTTCTGTCTTTGATGTCTTCTTTTCCTTCTCTTTCTTATTCCCTGTCTCTGTGTCTCTGTGCCTCAGTCTTTATATCTCTCTGTTTCTGTTTCTGTCTGTCTCTGTCTCTCTTCTATAGCTTAAAGAAAATGTAAGTAGGAGGTTTGGGAGTAAGGTGGAGAAGGAAGGGAAATTCTAGACAGAAGGAAGGAGGAAAAGGGGAAAAAAATCATGGCACATCCTTATTTTCATTATCTCTTCTTGTGCTTATCTGTCACCAATGCTTTATGGTTCTCTGTGGAGATTTACAACACATTCTTGGACACTTCCAGAAGACAATAAAAAATTCATTGTAAAAAAGTTGTCAGTATCATGTCACGTTCCAGAATTAATAGCAGCATAAATGAATGAATTAAAGAAAGAATGAAAAGAATTACTAATAGCTTATTACGGGGATATAAATTGAAAAAGAAAATCCCTGATTTAAAGTAATTTGCCCTTCATGGTTGAATCTCATAACAAATTAAAATTATTGAGGATTTTTTTTTCCTATCTTCATTTTGACTTCCAGGAAGTATTAATAAAACTAAACACTTATAAATGTAGTGGAGTTGATGACATTATATGAGTGAATTCATTAAGGATCATAGGGTTTAGGGCTAGAGGGGAACTTTGAAATCATCTAGTCTTTATTTTATTATTTAATTGAATTTCATTTAATTGCTTAACAATTTTTTCTCTCCCTTCCATCTTTCTACCCCTACTAAAGAGAAAACTAAAATCAAAAACTTTCTAACAAATATTCATAGTCAATACAAGATGAATTGAGTCCATTACCTCTCTGTTAGGAGATGGGTAACATTTTTAGATATGGTAATCTGAACTAATATTTTGTTATTGCATTGATCATTGTTTTTAAATCCCTCAAAGTTGTTTTAAAAGTGTTGTTATTGTATAAATTGTCCTCTTGGTCATGTTCGTTTCACTCCTCATACTTATCTTCCCAGATTTCTGCAAAACAATCCCCTTTTTCTATTTATTATGGCACAATAGTATTCTTTTAATTCATGTACTAAAATTTGTTGAGCCACGCCTCAATTTTTAATGGGCATCCCTTTAGTTTTCAGTTCTTTGTTCCACAAAAGAACTGTTATAAATACTTTTAAACATATGCATTCTTTTCCTTTTTCTTTGATTTCTATGAGACTAGTAATGATATAGCTAAATCACAGAGCATGCCCAGTGTAGTAATGTTGGGGGTTTATCTAATCTCTATTTAAGAGATGAGAAGAATGAGTCCAAGAGAGGTTCAGTGAGTTGTCCAAGGTTGCTGTGTTTGTCCTTCACTTTCGAAGAGGACTATAGCATCAGGGAGATGATGACAACTTGCAATTGACATTGGTTTGAGTGAGGGAGGGTTTTGCAGAGTCACCAGCCTCACTTTCTCCTCCAGGACACAACCTGTGAGTAGTCCAAGCTTCCTGAATGAGGATCCAGCTGGCCAGTTCTCTTGCCCCCCACCGCGGGACCCCCCCAGTGCCTCCTCTCCCCCCCCCACAGCCTCTCCCCTTCCTTCACCTCCCCACCCCTTCCCTTACCCTTTTCTCCCCTCCTCTCTCCTCTCCTCTCCTTCTCTTCCCTTACCTGAGGTTGTTCTGCCAAAAGGAGGGTAAATTTTGATGGCCCAAAGCTGCCTACTTAACTTGGGGTTTACTGACTATATTTCCTTCTCAAAGACCAAGCCTCAAACCCAATTCTCTCTGGAGCTCATAGCTTGGACAGCAATAGGTCCCTACCCAAGCACCACTTAATGATTATTTTTTGGCCCTTTCTGGCTTAGAGTGAATGTAAATAGTAACTGTTTTCTTTTTGGCCAGCAACCCTAAGGGTCTTTCTCTCCCACTTTGATTTTTTTTTTATCATTAAAGGGGTCATCCCTTGACTCACTTCTTCTTCTTCTTTTTTTTTTTTTTGCTTTTAGGCAATTGGGGTTAAGTGACTTGCCCAGGGTCACACAGCTAGTAAGTTTCAAGTGTTTGGTCTGAGGCTGGATTTGACCTCAGGTCTTCCTGACTTCAGGGCCGATGCTCTATCCACTGTGCCACCTAGCCGCCCCATTGACTCACTTCCTTTTTTTTTTTTTAAAGTCCTGCATTTCACTGAATGACCATTTTCTCCCCTGAAGGATTATACTCAGTTTTGCTGGGTAGGTGATTCTTGGTTGTAATCCTATCTCCTTTGCCCTCCAGAATATTATCCATGCCCTGCGGTCCTTTAATGTAGAAGCTGCTAAATCTTGTGTTATCCTGATTGTGTTTCCACAGTACTTGAATTGTTTCCTTCTGGCAGCTTGCAATATTTTCTCCTTGACCTGGGAACTCTGGAATTTGGCTACAATATTCCTAGGAGTTTTCCTTTGGGAATCTCTTTCAGGAGGTGATCGCTAGATTCTTTCCATTTCTATTTTGCCCTCTGGTTCTAAAATATCAGGGCAGTTTTCCTTGATAATTTCTTGAAAGATGATGTCTAGGCTCTTTTTTTGATCATGGCTTTCAGATAGTCAATGAATTTTTAAATTCTCTGTCCTGGATCTATTTTCCAGGTCAGTTGTTTTTCCAATGAGATATTTCACATTGTTTTCTAATTTTTCATTCTTTTGGATTTGTTTTACAGTGTCTTGATTTCTCATAAAGTCACTAGCCTCCAATTGCTCTATTCTAATTTTTAAGGAAGTATTTTCTTCAGTAATCTTTTGGACTTCCTTTTCCATTTGGCCAATTTTTCTTTTTAGGGCATCCTTCTCCTCATTGGCTTTTTGGACCTCTTTTGCCATTTAGGTTAGGCTCTTTTTTAAGGTATTATTTTCTTCAGTATTTTTTTGGGTCTCCTTTAGCAAGCTGTTGACTTGTTTTTCATGATTTTCTTGCATCACTCTCATTTCTCTTCCCAGTTTTTCCTCTACTTCTCTTACTTGCTTCTCAAAATCCCTTTTGAGCTCTTCCAAGGCCTGGGACTGATTCATATTTTTCTTGGAGGCTTTGGATGTAGGAGCTCTGACTTTGTTGTCTTCTTCTGGTTGTATATTTTGATCTTCTTTGTTTTCAAAGTAAGATAATATAGTCTGACTCTTTTTGCACTGCTTGCTCATGATCCCGGCCAATTACTTGAGTTTTAAACCCTTTGTTAAGGTAAGAGTCTGCTTCCAATGTGGAGAATGTACTGTCCCAAGCTTCAGGGGTTTATATGGCTCTTTTCAGAGATATTTGTAGGGACCCATAAATTTTCAGTTCTTCCCAGGTGGTATGATAAGGGGAGAGGTGTTTACTCCTTTCCTGGCCTGTGCCAGGTCTATTAGTGACCACAAGCACTCCTTTCTGTCCTGTAACTGTGAAGAAGGTTTCCTGTCCACAGCCACTACAAGTTCCACTGTGCCAGCACTCCTCCTCACCCCAGAACCTCTGTCCAGAGCTGTGACCTAGATCCAAGCATGGGCAAAGCAAGAGATTCCTGCCTCAGCTCCAGCAGAGAGATCCCTGCAATCCCACTCTGATCAGCCACTGGATTCCCCCTCAGTCTGTGGGCCAGAAGCTCGGGAAGTAGCTGCCCACCACAGGGCCGCATTCTAGGGGAAAGGAGCTGAGACTCCGCCTTCCTCTCTCAGCACTGCAGAAACAGACTTTTCCACTGACCTTCTAAGTTGTCTTTGGCATTCCTAGATTGAGAAGTCTGGAAGCCACCACAGCTGCCCACAATTCAGTCCTCTGAGGCCTGCTCCAGGTTTGCTGCACCTTGCAAGCCTGCATTGCACTCCCTGCCCGGCACGATATAGCTTTCTGACCACTCATCCAGGTTGTCTTGGGCTGGAAATTTGTTTCACTCTGTCTTTTTGTGGGTTCTGATGCTTTAGAATTTGTTTAGAGCCATTTTTTATAGGTATTTGGAGGGGTTTGGGGGACAGCTCAAGCAAGTTGCTGCTTTCACTCCCCATTGACTCACTTTTTAAAGAGGCCTATTCACTGAATGGGTATAGTCTCACTCAAAGTGAGAACCTGAAAAGACCTAAGCTTAAAAGGGCCAGGGTCTCCCATTGCATCTTGGGCTATCTAAAATCATCCTGATGCCCAAAGTCACCCAGATAGTATCAAAGCACTAGAACCACACTGGCTCTAAAACCCACACTTTTCCCATTAAACTATATTTTTTCTCTATTGTTTTTTAGGTCCTGTTAATTGAAAATACTTCTTGAGCTAGGTTGAATAGAAATCTTTTTAAAATAACATGTGGAATGCAAAATACCCAACTGGATAGCAATAGCAACTTCTCCTTTTCCTCCTCCTAACTAGCATTAATAATCATTAATAATAGTGTTAGTGGCTACTATGTGTGTGCCAGGCACTGTATTAAACACTTTACAAATATTATGTTATTTGAACCTCACAATAACCCTGACAGGTAAGTGCTATTAGTATGCCCATTTTACAGTTGAGGAAACTGAGGCAAAAAGAGATTTCATGACTTGCCCGAGGTTACACTGCCAGTAATCTGAGGCTGACTTTGAACTCCTTTTCCTGACTCCAGATCCGCACTCTAGCCATACACCACCTATGGTTTAACAATATAGGACATCATTATGTTAGTGACTTGCATACATTTTATAAAGCTGCTTCTGTTTTACTTGAGGACTTGGGGGGCATGTCTTTGGCAAGATGAGAGTTTATCATTCACATCACTGTTATTTCTGTCTCTTGATGTCCTGGTATTCGTATATCTACAGTCATCACATCATGGTAGAGCATGTATTTGTTTTTATGTGGGTTTCTAGATTACTCATTTCAAGCCAAGCTCAGAACTCATTAGATTTAGAGCAGAGTCATGCTAGTTTTCTTACACAGAATTGGGAAAGACACCAAAGACAAACTCTCTAATTTACAGTTCTGCCCTGGGTGGGCCCAGCTTAAGTTGTCATTGTTAACAATGATAAAAGAATTGATGTGAGATTTATGAAAACAGTAAAAGAGAAGTATAGAGATGGAATAGATTAATTCCCATTATGTTTAGAAAGTAAAGTTCAAGG